AAAATTATCCATAGGTTCATTACGCTTCGAGATACTAAAACAAATAAAATTGGTTTTTGAGGTATTTAATTGGCCGCTTATTCGATATCGCTTCCATTCATTTCAGCGATAAACCTGCCTACTCGTGCCTGGGGCGCGTCTACACTGCCCAGTAAGCTCCCGAGATCATATCGTCCCAGATTAGTCCTAGTTATGATTGCGCATCGGCTACTATGAATATTTATAGACCTACTAAAATGCTTACATATATTTATTTCGAAATTTTATTTCAGTTACATTCGAAAATGAAGATTAAGTAAAATATTACAGCTACGTAAATCCGTAGCAAAGCTCGTAGCAACCCAATAGGAGGTATATTTTTACCCGTTTTGGTTTCGTGATCCATGCTTCTGGCGTTTGTTAAACCAAACGTAAAATGTAAATGTTGGCACTTCCGTCGTCTGATATATTTCTAGGTAAATGATATTCGCTAAATATACGCGAGTGGGCGCGTAGTTGCGCTAGCCGCGAGTCGCGCGCTCTCCCATTCATGAATCAACTTCAACATTACCTAACCGCAGCACGAGACGACTAAAACAAACATCACGCTATGAGAGTTATTAATAAGAGTTGCGAGTTCAATGAATCCGAGCGTATGTACCGTATTTAAATCGCTGTATCATTCCGATGTGCACCAAACTCATACGCGTTCGACCTCCCGCCGCAGATTACTGCAGCTCTACATTTAATGAGCACTAAATCCAACCGGGCTTTTGCGGAAATCAATTACAATATCAATTTATATTTATGAACTCACCCATCGATCTAAACGATTGTATATACTTAATTGACTGTCATAGTTAGCCTGGTTTATTACTTCAACGTGTAATTAATATGGCCATAGATTATGCCCGCCGTAGAAAATTCTCATTCCAAAGGCCATTTTGACAAATGTTTTTAATTAATCCGTTGGGTGTGATCGGTGTCGAATAAGGCAGCTATTTAAGCGGACAGATTCCAGGCGTGGCAGACTGCGGCTCCGGCGAGATGTATGAGCGCCACGTCTTAGCGTTTTGTTTATTTGGAATATCCTTTTTTCTCGTTTTATGATTCTCGTCTGTGTAAATTCCTCGTTTCGGAACGCTTCAATCTAACTTTCCGCTTTAAATAATAGTAAGCAGTATGTATGGATGATAATTTTATTCAGTTTCTTTGTAGTGAAAACGTTCATCGAGGGAGGAAATTGGCATAGCGGGGCGATGCTATTGTTATACATTTCGTTTTAAATTGGGGAGCTTTCTTGAATTTACACCCGTGACTTGCAATAGGAGGGTGCGCCGAGGGCTCTCCTCAGAACTAAGGCTACGTGTTTGTATCGATTGATCCGCCAAGTGTTTTATTCCAGCACCTTTTAATCTTTTTCTTTCATCAGACACTCAAACGAATCTTTTAGATACTCTCATTGTGCATTCCCATGAATACCTTATCCATTTTAATTTGCGTTCAATATGAATTATGCGAAACAATCATCATTGAAAGCCTCGCCTGAAGTTTGAGGCGCTTATTTTGCGTTTATCTCATTGTTCTTCATTCAACCGACGAGGCAAATTAGTTCCGAGCCATCTTAATACAAACTCGATATCGTGGTTACAAAATGTTGTTCGTATTAAATATCGTCGATAAAATCTCTCGATCGTTTTCGACCCTCACAATGAATGTTGGGGGCGTTCTCGAGTCGATCACAAAACAAAAAAGAAACGTGAATATATATGAATACTCCACAGCTAATGATATTCTTTTAATAACGAAGAAAAGTAAATGAAATGACTAACGTACGGTTGAACCTTTGAAATGTCCCAATGGAACGTTACATTTGCATTCCATAGATTCAATTGCACAACGCACGGGTCGGTGTCCGCTGATAACATTTTACAATATGTTGTTCACTGCATATGACAACTTTTTAGATGAAACTACAAGAGTCATCTGCAAAGCGTTTACGCAAATAGCTTTCGGCATGTTGTCGACAACCGGTCAAATACCACCTGTTTCGCTGCAAATTAACTAAATATAATATGTTGACATTTCAATTACAGTACAAAAGATGTTCTCATAACGGCTGATCGCCAATGTTATTAGTAATATGAAAGAAACACTTAAATTACGACCATTTGGCAACAGTTCAGTATGCCATCTGATAGTGTTTTTCGCAAATTATACATATTTTCATAGCTGGAGGTACTATTATATATTTGCTGTATTAGGTACCTACTTTCTGCCTATGCTGTATACATTGGTTACCTACATGTAAACTTACCACAGAACAAACCACACAGTGATAAACTATTTTATATTTCTCTCATACCATTAAACCAGTTGAGCGACCAATCATTTTAGGGCTAAAAGCGTTGTGGTTAGCCTCCGCAGGCCTATATTTAGGGGCGCGATGCAATAAAAGCACATCGCTGTCCGGCCCATTCCCGCACGACTGTGCAAGATAAATGGAAGGTCCGGGCCGACCGCGGCGAAGGAGACGCGTTCTCACGGCCCGTGCCTGCGTTTCTTTCTTTTTGTTTCATCTGGTTTCCGAGTTAGAGGTCGCCGTCGCTTGCTCCGAGACTAGAAGTGACCGCTGCACGCGCGATTGCAGCGATAAAAACTGTGCGACTGCCGCGAGCCTCGGACGACTAACGAGCCTTCACTTACCTGCCGATGTTTTTGTAATGCGCCATTCTTATGCTACATTACTAGGACCGTTACTTCCAATCATAGTTACGGCGCATTCAGTAATAACGAACCATGTGCCAGTAAATGTTTGTGTGAGGTTTCGAGTATGTAAACTGGTCGTGATCCCGCCTGTTAATTAGACACGGCTCTCGCACGGCGCAACACCTCTGCTCATTATTTACCGCTTCATTAAGAGCTCAGTCGCGACGAGCGCCTGTCAAAATCTCGCCGAACGTCCCGCGTCCGTCCGTCGCTTGAAATATCGCAGCATTGTCCTACAATAACGCTGTCGTCGGCCTCGTTAATTGTCTTAGTCGACTCTCTCCTTTGCTGGATCTTCTTTATTTGAAAGCGCAACTTTTGAGATCATATAATAGAATGCTCGTTTCCGTTCCAAAACAACGCATTGCGGTATTGCGCAACATTTTATTACTAAGCCACAATTTCTTTGAACAAAAACAAAATGAGAGCGTTTGGCTCATTTCGGTAACGTGCGGACACCGTACCGCCAGCCGGTAATAGCACCAACGTTACATTATAAACAATAAAATCCATTACTTTAATGATGATTGATTTCAAAAAATCAATTTCGTTTACAGTTATCTATGGATGTCGGTAACATTCGCAATCGCGAGTGGGATCGCTCGTATACGTTATTTATTATAGGCTTTTTCACTTTTTTGCAAATGAATAACAGCCGTAAATCATAATAACATTCTTCCACAAAAAAAAACGTTAGATATTCTCTTGACGCCCCGTTCAAACAAGCTTTCAAAGAAAGATTCAAATCACCATCAAATCGAGTTACTCAAAAATTAATTACACACTCATTAATTACATTTCTCAACATCATTTTATTTAATTAATTTTAATGGACTACACTAACCGGATCTTCTCGCAGAAATTGGAAGAATGAACTGTGAGAAACGAATAAACTATTACAAAGCTCGTCTAGGCTGAACTAGTAATTTAAGGTAATTATATGTTATTGGAACCAAAAACTATAATTCAAAATAGCTTCAAGTTATATCTTACTACCAGTCACTTCATGCTAGCAGGTGTGGAATTTCTACAATGAGCCAGTCAAAGTGGAAATTGTTGCCATATTTAGTATTTGAATTTTATACGCACATTTCCTTTAAGGTCGAAAATAAAATGTCGTGAATATCTGACTACGGTGAAGCACAAAAATTAACCTACAGTATTATATACAAAGTCCACATAATGTACAAAGGCGGCGGACATTTTAAAAGCCATTTAAGGCCAAAGTCTGCGTGCCGGAGCATTGTGATTTCTGTACACGTTTTAATGAATTCGTCCTTCCGAACGTTCGTCGGGCTCCTCGGCCGCTATTCAAAAGAAAATTACAGTCGAGAGCCTCTTCGAAACAAACCCTTTAGAAGTCACGCTTCGTTCTTGCTAAACTTGCTCCAATTATTTCTATTCTCTTTTTGCTGATTCCTTTATGCGAGAGGTCATTATATCGACGTCAGTTGGTGAGCGGCTCGGACGCCGCACCATATGTTCTCAGCGCAGCCTTTAAATTTAGTCGTGACACTGAAGTTCGGATAATTGATTAATGGCTCTCAGGGCGGACGTGTTTAAACGCCACGGTCATCGTTTTTTGCCGGAATCCCCGGTAATGATACGTTCTGATTGTCTTCGAGGGAGTTTCATAAAAGAAGCGCCATATGGCGCGGGCCACAGATTCGCTCCGCCAACAGTTGGTCATAACATGTTACGACATCGATACGGGTTCTCATCTACCTGCTATCAACGGAAACTTGATTTTTTACGCATTTTATATGTCTACATAATGACTAGTGACGGAATTGAATCCCAATGTTTTCAATTCACATTTGACATCTGGGTCACCTACTTGAAAAAGTTTTAACATTTATTATTTATGTTTTTCATCTGTTCTCCTGAAAGTTAGCCGAGTCGAAGTTAAAAATTGACCTAATTCAAATATCCAATTAATAAATGTCGCCCTTGTTTACGGATCCCAGAGGCCGCCAAGTTTTGTATAAACAAACAATATCGGAGGGAACTTGGAAGACTTGTTGATGTTTAAAAGGTTACTCTATCTCAGTTTGGACTAAAAAGCTTTCCATTTTTTACGGGACAAAACAACTGAATTACCTCAATAAATTGGATCAGATGTATCAATAAGGAAGTACGGTGTTATTGATTTCCATCGTACAGCAAGAAGAGAAGAAATTCTTTGATTCAACCTTATTTACGAGGTCTTCGACAGCCGACTTTAGCTTTAAATGTAGTATTTTGTGCCACAGATTGGGCGGCGCGCCGATGTCAAGCGGAATGGGTGGCGGCACGCTGGGCAGTGGGCACTGCCAGCTCGCTAACCAGCCGCTGGTGATGCCGGTGTTCCCGCTGCGAGCCAGCCAGCCCAGCCCCGTCCCCGTGTACTCGCCATCACGGTTCCACATAGACAAACGGTGTCAACACCGGTGCACGTGGAAGTGCCTCGCCATCGCCATGATATGCCTCTGTGTCATCCTAGCGGCGATGCTCGCCTACTTTATAGGTAAGTACCATTCACATAAACAACACAATATGCTCTTATTAGTAGACGTATGAGATTCCCGCGACCCACTTGACTCTGTCACTTAGTCACTATTAAGATGGGTCGCTGTTATTAGCCATACAAACCGACATAAGTAGTTCTGATCATTTATGAATCTGGTCATCTGTTCTTTGAAACTTTTTAACGTTAGAATAACAGAGACTTAAACAACAATCCGGTTTATAATAAGCCTCGGATATAATTCGGTCCGACAACAATATTCCAATAAGGTATCGTAAGGCTGCAAAATCAAAGTAACAATCTCACGGAGTTTCAATTTGCGATCGTTCATAGATCACGTCTGTTTTTTCCCACGTCTACATTTCTCATGTTGCTAAACACAAGATAAGTTGGACCTTACCTTAAATATAATCTCGAAATACCATCTCATAAACATCAGTTTTTAATTCAATCAAACTAATCGAATAGAATTCTATCTTTATTATAATCTCGAAAGTCTGTGATATCATGAACTAAATTATGCAATTCATGCATTCTACGTCCATTAAGTAAGGAGCTTGTTGCAATTCCCAACTTGGTAAACTTATAACTACTGTACTTAAGTTTGATTGAAAAGTTGCGGCCTGATACTTATGAACGAGAGGACTTATAGTTATTCCTTCTTTGTAGTTTATTGTTAAGTCTGAAACATATTTAATACATTATACATACCTACAATTATATTGAAACCATGAGCTTAATCTACATTTCTAAATAATTTATCAGAGACTAACGAACAGCGATTTCGAATGACAGTTTTAACTGCACAGTTAAACTAACTCTGTGTAGGTCGTTCATTTTATATTGAAATATCCAACGTGGACTTACACTGACGATACATCTTTGTTTATAAAATCACAGTGGGATGTACGAGACCCTCGTTAGACAGTATTTATATTAACTCGCTCGGAATGCCGATTAGAATATTCATAACATTATTCTTTCACAAACCATTAGCGTTAGTGTACGGGCTTCGCTGGGACAAACGAAACAAAACTTGTAACCTTAATGACGTCATGTAGGGTACAATACGCTTCAATATTACGAAAATGTAATAAATAGTTTTTTAACCCATACATATCGGTTAACCTTTTAGTAAAACTGACTCCCACGTTCGTTACAAAGGTAATTTAATTTAGGTATGGACCCAACGACTGTGGTTAAACAATACCGCAAAATGTTCGCGGTTTCGATGCTTTTGTTGTCCTATCAAAAATATTACTGTCCATTCGAATTGCTGTTACAAATTCAGACTTAAACTATTAATGTTATTACACGTCTGAGCCTAATCCCTGCAGCTCGCAATCTGATTGTTTTACCAGATTACAAAGCAATGTAAAATTGCACTCGTATGCTTTTATCCCCTTAATGCCGAATCGTGCCTGAAGCGGGATTCCATCCAATTAAGGGGCTAGTTCTCGTACTGTATGATTGGAAACCGACAAAGGCATAGCCCTCGAGGGTTACACAAGATTATATAGTCCCACGGACTTAACTCTCCACTGAAACAGTAGCAAAAATTACTCTTGCTTTTATAAATTGCAACCTATTTGTGGACATAAATATTTCCAACGAACAAAGGAAATGTTTATAATTTAGTGGAACACGCAGCGTTTCAGATTATTGGTCATTTATTTATTTAAACTTTTTTTTAGCTTTGCATAGTAATTTATTTTTCAACTAACATTTATTTTATAACCATAGAGTCGGTAATCATGCGTCGTAAAACTTGTTGAAGCTCATTTCAATCAAACTTTTTCTTCGAGTTGTCCGTTGTGATGCTAACGGAAAATATCCATAAAAATACTTTTACTCATTTTATTATTATACGACCAAATCATAATAGAAAAATATTTCCATCATCACACCAAAACTCGATTGAAAGGTGATAAATTCAAATATTCACTCGGTCCATGCAAATGAGTTGATTAAACATTGATGTTTCAACGAAAACAGACGTCGACCATTAGTCTTTTATCATTCTTTGTTTAGCCGGCATCACAGAGAGGTTCGTAAAAAAATAAAACAAACATCAGAAAAATATAAATGATGCGCCTAACGCAAGGCAACGCGCGCTGCGTGCCTCGAGCCTGCGCGCCCATGTTAGAGCCGTTATAAATTATCTTACACTTCCACGTCCCATGTTATTCCTCTACGAATACATCAGCCACTCGCAATCCCTGCGTACCGGGTACCCACCAAACGACCAATCATAATTTATACATGCAAAATGTTACATAAATCGCAAAAATAAATCCCTGTTTGATTTAACGACGAACAACTAATACCTTCCTCGCAGTATAATAAAACAATACATTACATTTTATATCTAATGGCACATTCTCTCAACTGCATGTAATGCTTATTGCTGAACTGAATGTGCTGTACTTACCTACAGTTGTACATGTAGCGAAAGTATTTCGTGCTAACGACTGAAAGACACGAAACTATAAAAGGACTTTGCCAGTTGCAACTTTGTACGAGTACAACAGTGTTGATTTTACAATGTAAATGAAATTATATTATTTGGTATTATTAACGAAACTCGAAAACAAAACCTATATCTACCTTGGTTTGAGTAAGCAATCTGTTACAATAATCAAGAAAGTGGATTGTTATCTAAGCTAAGTGATCACCGACATTCTCCCGAACCGCAAGTACCTACACGAGGCATCACAAAATAACACGCAGCCGTCACGGGTCGCGGCCGCTATCGACGACGCAATACTTTTGTCCTATATCCGAACACACATTTACCCCGCCGAAGCCAAGCCCTCGCAATTACTATAACAACTCGAACGATAATGACTGTGTATTCTTCGTAACTCGTTATTACTGAAATAATCATCCCGGTACAATTTTACACTCATAAAACATTAAAGCTTCTGCGTTAATTTATTGAGTTACCCGGAAACACTAGTCGGACAGAAGTGTAGAGTTTTCCATTAATGACGTAAGCACTCTCAAAGAAGTTATTTCCGAAATTCGACCCTAACGAGGGTGAGGAAAAAAATGTGTTTTTACTGTCAATGTCGTCGAGCTATTTGGTGGAATGAGAAAAAGAAATAAGTGCGGCTAAAGAGTCGTATAAATGTGGCCACTCGAGTTCCCGGAATTCTTGAGGCGCTTCGAGTAAAGTAAACCATATAGTCAATAACGTTCAACTTTACAATTATACAATACTACACAGAGAATAACAAATTATATTTGTTTACTTAAAACATAAACCGACTTAACAGTGTTTTAAGTAGTGAAGTTTGAAGAGATAAACACGGACAAAGTTAGAATGTTTCAAGTGTAGACGCGGCTTCTATTTTTATAGATTTGCACTTGTTTGGCGACGTCACGCGAATCCGGTATAAAAGTGGAACATTCGTAGAAACAATATGTCGTTGGGTGCACAGCCGCATTGCCATTTACACAGAAAGTGCTCACTCGCTGTAATGTCAGGAAATTACTTTTGTTTATTTCCCTTCAGGCGAAACCTTTTCAGAGTGGAGGGTGGCCGCGGTGGCAAATTATACCTAATGCCGACTCAATTAGAGACTTAAACGATGATTTATTCCAAATTAAATTGCTTAAACTCAAGTATACCTATTTGTTTATCTTCTATATCTCACGCTAAAGTACTTTCAATGGGTTCCTCCTCATATCACGTTGTACTGAATATGAAAAGATAATTTGGAAGTCCATCGTTGCTATCTTTCCGTTTTACATATTTGAAAACTAAACTGTTTAGTTACGAACTCATAAACGCCTTTGAAAAGTGTAATTATCAAAATTCCTAGTACATGTTATATAACCACGTCGACTTGATATATTCAATTTAAATAGTTCATATATTATGTTACGTAAATTGACGGGGCTAGCCTCTAGTACCTAGGTAGTAGAGTAATTGTATTAATTTTTAAGTACATCAGCGTTGAAAACAGTCGTTATAAACGCTCCTCGAATGTCTAAACTATAGTTTCAATTTAAGTTAAGCCAGCGTTCTATTAAACAGTTTGAGCAAACACTAAATAATACGGTTGAAGCACGCTACGTGAACCGCTAACTACTTCATTGTAGTTTCGGCAACGCGTTCTACTTCATCTGAAACAAAAACTTGTTTACAGACTACATAACGAACTCCTATAAACACTGAAGGGTTTCATATTGCTTTTGTAAGACAGAAATCGTATAATAAATATACTAGTACGCCTGCTCATACCTCTAAAATAACCGACATCCACTTTTCGCCAACACAACTACAGTTTCCCGTTAGAGAACACCTATTAAAGTGTTAAGTTGAGAAAGTACGTAATTTACTATACTTTTTCACACACAAAACAACAATTTCATTCTTTTTTAGTATTTATGTTATTGTAATGGGACAATAACAACTGCTTGAGATGACACTAATGTCCGCACTTATCCATGATGTTATTCTAACTCACAGATATAATAAAGACTCGATAAAATAAAATCCGACGATTTTTCCTAAAAGTAATGTAATGAACGGAAGAGATGTAAGGTGTCTCAAGTCAATGAGGCTTATCGTATCGGATCTCACTTCATTTAGAGGCCCGTTAAATTATACAGGCGAGATAAGGCAGCATGTAGCATATCGTCTATCGATGGCCGCGGCAACCTGTCCAATTCAAACCGATATAAGCTTTTTCTAACACGACGACACGCACGCCTCGAAATCACCACATTTAGATTTCCAAGAGATAATATCGAAACCAATGAATCTGTTAAAGGCTACCTATTTAACTACGTATTTAAGATTCGACTTCCAGTTTTTTTCCGAACTTTCATTAAAATAATGATCACGATTCAAATAACAATAAAATGTTATTCGGACACGCCTCCTGGCGTTTCGGATTTGTATCAAATAAAACTGGGTCTATAGTTTAATCCGACATAAATCTCCGGGTTTGCGCCGGTAGTTTTAGTTATGTAATGAAAAAATGTGAACCATCTGTTGCACCCTTCATTACGTGTATGGTGTATGAATGGGGGCAAATACAGCACCGTCAACTTTTTAATGTAATTGAAAATGTGAGGACCCCAAATGTTTTATTAAAGCTCTCACAGCGAGCATTAACGCTTTTCAAGTGGCTCGCGCACACGTTCAACGTGATCGCAAATGCTTTTGTTGTTGCAATAATACCCGAATAAAAATAACAAACCACTATTTTGTAACCAACATATGCAATTAAAAAATAGGACGTGAACATTTGTTCCGTCAACAGCTTATTTATTTAGCGAAACGGCCGTCCAAAAACGTTTTCAATAACAATATTTATGTGCTATTCGGTGAAACTCATCAACATTAAACACAACTAAACATAACTCGACCACACGCTACATCCTGTTGTAACCGGTACTGCGCATCTTTTTGTACCCTTTTTATTGACCTTGCGTATCGATTAGACCTGCTGATTTATGTTGATTATACAGGACACGGCATTTGTAGGAGCTGCACTCAGCGGGTGCCGTAATATTTCTAATATAAGGTACAATTTCATAAATAAATAAACATATACATCTATATAACCACCACGTTTCATGAAGCATAACTTTATTTAATGACAACATTTTATGATGATGTAATCAAAATTCGGATTTGTTTGTTCTCGCTGAGAAAATGGGGCAAACAAACCGCGGCCTCGTGCGAACACAGTTAACATGCGCAAGGAACAAGGACAAGTATATTAGATCCTGCGTGTAATGAAAGGAGACAGCAGACATGAACACGGGAAGATTTATCACGTGACTAATACGAGAATGTGCGACGGCGCGTCCGTCCCCGGGGACACTATCAAACGAGTTTCGCTCCCCCAACGCACGATGCAATCTATGCTGAATCGTATTACAATAAATTGTATTAACTCGAAAAATAGTGGAGATAGCAAACATAGTCCATCTGCACACAATCGTCGCATGCATCGGCCGGCGACCTCGTCTACCCGACCACCCTCCATTTCCTACCCGCGCGCTCAATACACAAAATTTATAGATTTTACGAGGGATCATCGGCAAAACTCGCGACTTACCACATTGTCATATTTTATTTTCTTACGAGGAAATTACGTCATCTTTGATGCTTTATTTGAAAACATCGTGTACGGTGTATTATTATTTTGTGAGTGGGGCTCCATCTAACTGTGTATAATGTGGGTTGAGCTGTTCGAAAATATCTGTAGATTTTCTGATAAATAAAAAGCGAGTACACTGTAGGTATGTGTCGATCTTTGTACATCCAATGATGTTTTATTTAAACAAAAGCCTGTCGCACATCAATGGTCGATCAAGTTTTTATTCATATTTATGACTGTCAGTAAGAGATGTATATTTATTTCCATTCCATCAATATTTGATGCGGGGCAATGCACTAGACATGTTTAACTGCTCAAAGTCTTTGAACTCAATATATACCATTGTAGAAGTTAGATTTTAAATCCATCTCAACATACGCATGTAGCATTAACACTGAATTTAAATTGCCTGCTTAACTATGGGTAGTTAAGCCGATAAAGGTTATTGTCATTGAACTATCTACCCCCGGCATGGTACAGTAAAGTTAAATTGTCCAATCCTCAGCGCAAACGGCCAAATGGCGACAACGTTTCGCGATCTTATCTCAGAGTAAATCTTGGGGATAGATAGACAACTGTTCGGCAGGCTAGATAACTTAATTGCTCAGACACCGCCGGAGTTATCTCGATCAATAATACAACACTGCAGACACTTGACAAAGCACGTCACACAAAATATTCACACATTAAATTTAATTGGTAAATTGAATTTACAAAACTTTATCAGATGTCTCTTAACAAATTACTGAACATGTTAATTAGCCGGAACAAAATCTGGGTTGCGTCAATTAAGTCTATAGGGATTGATTTATTGTCCTTGACGTAACGCACGACATATTAGGCGCACATCCTGCGCACGCTCCGAAACAAATAAACGTTGCATCCCCATCCGAGCACAAATCCTGAGCGATCGTGAGCTTCTTACTGAACTAATAAATGAACGCAATAAATTCTCTTTACATTACTGACATTCAATGGCTCCCTTGCAGTTTCTATTGAATATTCCAGCGAAGCATTAAGAGGAAAAGTGCCTCCTATACATATTTTAGCGACTTGACAAAATATATTCATCTAAGAATAATAAATTAAATTGATAGATTCTATTTGATGCTTCAGTGGTTTGAAAATAAACAATAATTTCGATAAGACCCGTGTCTTCTAAGCTCGTGCTTTTCTTGCTACTTAACACCATGAAGAATTATCCAATTAGATTGCGTAGCGCGGCATTTTATGATCGATTCGATAGCCAGCAACTGTCGCATAATGAGGAGACAACAGCATTCTCCCGAACAAGAAATAGTTGGGTGTCGGCGAGCCACCTACGTGCTTGCTGGGGGCCGTACCCGCGGCAGCGGAACCAATCGCTCCGTCACACCGCCACGAAATGCAGCATAGTCGTGCTTCGCTTAATTAAAACCCGACGGGACATCACGTCTTCTACCTTGCATTCATGTAACTCTTAAACTTTAAAATGACATCTCTTATTGTGTCGCATTTCGTAACACGTCGCGCCCAACCGATGCGACGCGACGCCCGTGTGAACTGTAATAGAATTACAGCTCGGCTACTGGGCATTATCGATGTAAGCCATCGATAAGAAACAAACTTAACGGAAACTTAATTGGATGACCCTCTTCGAGAGATAGATTTGGATCGGAGATCGGACACTAATTTAGTAAAAAATACAATTAAAAGTGTACATTTTATTAAAAATACCTTTTTTATTTGTTTCAGCGTTATCGTCAATTAAAAGTAATATAGACAATTCAAATTGTATCCTGGTACAAGATGTAAAAGCCGTAACACATGCACAAGGAATTAGAGATGCTTTATCAACGTCATCACCTTCAGACGGTATGCAATATAACTTTTCATTTTACAACTTGTGATTTTACGCAACTCTTAATAGTTTTGCGATCTAAAAGATTTCGCACGTTTCATTGCAGAATCAATATCAACTTCATCATTAGGCGGGTGGTCAACAACAGCAGAAGCGGCGCTAGAGTCAGCAGTAATACCTCAACAAGCGCAACAAGCAGCGCCGCCTCCTTGGTCACCCGCGTTAGAAGTTAGAGAATTCGACGAGTTACACAGCGCTACTATACCTGCTTACCAATTTTGGAGTTCTGAATTTCGCAACAAGCAGCCTGCCTACGTTAGCCTTAACTTCACGGTTCCCTGGGGAGCTAATTTTGCCGTATATGGCAGACGCAACGTAGCTCCTAGCGTAACACAATACGACTTTGTTGAATTTATTCGAGGCGGCAGGGTTGACCACAGACTACGGCGCAGAAGAAGTCCATTCAGAGATAATCCATTTCAAAGTAGTCTAAACGACTGGGACGCATTGTTAAGCACGATAAACCCATTGCACAAATGGAACCATACGTTAAGCAAACGTTCAACGGATATGAGAGTAAACGTCAGCATACTACAATACCTAGACACGGGAAGATGGTTTATATCAGTATACAATGACGAGCTGCAGCCACACAACGTTGAAATGATCGTTTCTGAGGCGGAAGGCGTCACTAACTCTTGTCCAGATGATTGTTCAGGTCACGGATCATGCTACCTTGGCAAATGCGAATGTATGGACGGCTATGAAGGACACGACTGCTCAAAAAGTAAGTTGAAATATAATTACGAAACAAGCCACATCTTCGTAAAGACATGAAAGACGTGCGCAAGTAATAACTCACAATTGTTTTCGCAGGTGTGTGTCCAGTTCTTTGTTCGGGGCACGGTGCGTATGCAGGTGGTGTATGTCACTGTCTGGAAGGGTGGAAAGGTCCGGAATGTGACGTTCCAGCACACGACTGTGAACCGGCCGACTGTTCCGGGAGAGGTCAATGTATCGCCGGCCATTGCCATTGTAAGGCTGGATGGAAAGGGCAGAAGTGCGACGAAGGTATTCAAAACAGATAATTACCTACTGTATTCAATAGTCATTTATGTAATAGTTTTAAATTAATGCGTCATCGTTTATGCTGCAGCTAACGTGTTTTGTTTTATTACTTGCAGAGGACTGCCTTGATCCAACCTGCGGTGGCCATGGTTCATGCGTGCGTGGTAGATGCGTGTGTCGTGCGGGTTGGCGAGGTGCCTCCTGCAGCGAACGCGATGCTAGGGTACAACGTTGTCTCCCTGCATGTTCCCAACGCGGTGTATACGATTTAGATGCAGGACGATGTGTGTGTGACCCTCTCTACACCGGAGATGATTGCTCGCAAGGTAAGGCCACTAAACACCCAAACAGGTTTAAATAGTTAAATGTACTTACACTGGTACTTTAACCGCACTTTTACTTTGTAGTTGTGTGTTCATTGGATTGTGGACCGCATGGTGTTTGTGCCGAGGGCGTTTGTCGCTGCGATGACGGCTGGACAGGCTCCATGTGTGACCAACGACCTTGTGACACGCGCTGTCACGACCACGGGCAATGCAAAAACGGCACGTGCGTCTGTACGCAGGGGTGGAACGGCCGGCACTGTACTCTGCGTAAGTTTTATGTTATTTTTTATATCGGTTTCATGCAGCGGATACGAATAACATATTCGCTTTTAATTGGGATGGGTTTTGGGAATTTTTTAAATGCTTATTAAATTATTTCTGAGGTATCCATAACAAAAAAGGGGAACTTCTTTATCTAATTGATCGATGTGCACAGCTGGTTGTCCGAATGGCTGTTCTCGTCATGGACAATGTCTTCTGGAAGATGGAGTGTACCGCTGTTCCTGCGCTGACGGCTGGGCTGGCACCGACTGTTCTATTGCACTGGAACTCTCTTGCAACGACAACGAAGATAACGATGAAGGTAGGTGGACTCTCTCTTACAGATTAAATAGGCACAAACGTAAGACCAATTAAATTTAAAACGATCCAAAAAAACATATTGGCTGTCACTTGACAATGGCTACACTTTTGAAGATGGCATGACGGACTGCTCGGACTCGGAATGCTGCAGTCGACCTGAGTGCGCCGAGCACATCATGTGCTTAGCTTCCAACGATCCTGTGGAAGTACTTCTCAGAAAGCAACCGCCTTCTGTCACCGCATCCTTCTATCAGCGCGTCAAATTCCTCATCGAAGAAAACTCTGTCCAGAGCTACGCACACATGGACGAATACTCCGAAAGGTATGTGTAGCATAAGACGACGTCTCAAAAATGTTAACAAACACCAAATCACTTCATGTACGTAAAAGATGTCGTTAGTAACAAAAACTAACAAAATATTAACCATTATAGGATCAGAACTAAAAACAATACAACGATATCTTTTGCACCCAGTTGGTTTAGGACTGACCTGTCGGTTTTGCACTATTCATGAATAATTATATTTGCACTTTACAATGATTTTAGATCCGTGAAATCATCGCCGTACTGTAATGTATATCCGTAAGGAGAAGATACAAAATTCATGACGACATAAATTATTTAGGAACTAGCACCTTCACCATATAATTCCCGCTCATCTTCCTAAACCTCTCCGAGGATTTGGTGTGGTTATTTTAATTTAATTGATAACTTCAAATACTTTTATAACTTACAATTTATTTTCTCATCTGGTGGAAGTGTTTTGATTTTCCTCTGTTTTCTCGCGAGTGAAACATTATGATTTATTATTTGCGATCCTAGCATGGTTATGTTTTACCATTGGATTAATTGTTTTCAATACGAGTTTTGTTTTTTGTATTTTGTTTTAATTTTATTTTTTCACACCAGATCCGATGTGTTGTGTATTGTCTAATGTTCATCCCTTGTGTGTGTCTAACCCTACCTGTTTGTCTAAACAAAACAAAAGCGTATTACGAATAACAAAATGAAAATAGAAATAAAATCAAGCGCTCAAAAGCTTTCGAACAGTTTTGTTTGTCTTCTCAAAAACGAAATCACTTTATATAAGTAAATAAGGTTAAAGAAACTGAACTTGAATCATGAAAACGTTGTCCAAATTACTATTTAGTCGCGACTGTAAACAAAAAATGCTTGCAAATCCTAATTGACGCAATTTTACTTCGTCTAATACTTTAAACCACTCGATGGTAATGTCTTTAAAAGTACTATCAGAACAAACTTAAACGCGTCTTTCATGATCTAAGTTCGTAAACAAAATCTTAAAGTTTTTATTTGCCCTATATTTATCGTGTGCGTTGATAAAACTTCGAACGATCTCTTAAGTAAATAAGACAAAGCAAAACTGAATAATAAAAGTAGTCAACCCACCTCGCTTAATATGCAAAAGCGCCTCTAAAAGTTTGTTTGCATTAAAACACGAGCCGCTTCACTATTTTATTTAAGTTCAAGAGTCTAGAGTGGTTATATTGCGTTCTGGCATTTGTTCCATCAGCCCTTGTAACCGTGACACATGACGGAGGTCCTCCGTGCATTCACCATCCAGCATGAACTTTCCATATTCAATCTTTGGTGCAACCTACAACAATATTTTTTTTCAAAATTTATCCACACTACCTATCGCAGGCATAATTAGCTGTCGGTCAACAGTGGTGGTTGTTCTAATGCAAACGGGCTTCGTCTGTGAATCGATTCGTAAATAACAGAAATTGAATTGGTAAATACAGTGTTAAAACGCAAGGTAACCAATATAGACGAGTGCAATCGGCCGGAGCGGTTGCAAAACCGGGGTGGGGTTGCACTGAGGGATGTAGGTATCTGTGTAGTAATCTGTCCTGTCTTTCTGTGTCCCTGTGCCGCCGTGTGTCCGCCACTCCTAGCGAGTTCTGGAATTCCTTTACACCATGGTAAGTGTCAGTCAGCCCGCCCTCGCCCCTCAGTGTTCAGTATCTGTTCACCTCTTCCCTTTTGTTGCGAATCCTGCATATGAGTGTGATGCCGGTGACCTTCGCGTGTCCCACAACAGACACGCGGATGGTGCCACTGACGCTTTTTCACTTTTCGTTCAATCCTTTGTCTGTATTCGTTTCATTCTCTATGTGTATGTAACATCTGTATGTTTGTCTTGAATGTTTTCGTGTGACTGCGACAAAATCCTCGCAATCTCAGCGTAAATCAAGCACCGGCGACGCCCGACGCTGTCGTCGGTCCGCAAACGTCGCGTCTCTTTTCAAATATGATTTGCCGCAGTCACAATTGTATTTTGTACTGTTTATTTGTCTCGTCTACTGTGCTTATATTATAGTTCACATATATACTATGGAATAATTTTGTTATACTATATGAAACTTAGGAAAATCATTTACGCTTTCACGCAAAACGTTTTTAACACAATCGATAGGCATAGGGCTTGCAAAATATACAAATCGACGCGAATTGTATATTATCAATTGAGCAAAATTTCAGCGAACACGCAAATTAAGCTTCAAATAAACTTACCCTTTTATGTGTTCCTTACCCTTTGTCTGCGTCTTTCATCTGTTAACCAACCCCCTACCCTTCGCCCGAGCTCTTTATGTGTTTAGATCCTCACCCTTTGTAACTAACCAAAACACAACTTATTTGAATGTACTCCTACTACTTCACAGCGATACTATAGCAAAATTGTCGACATTGTACATTACAACCATCGCTTCCATTAATCAGTCATTGACGACATTTTATTACACTTTGAAATTGGTGCAACGAACGTATTTTTCTCGATTTATTTCATCGCTTTCAGAACTGTCTGCCTCTGCACAAGCATTTACTATTGAACCTTCTGCATTTTGATGTCTGAATGGGAGCACAGTTCTTAAAGCGATGTATGTGATTACATGATGAGTTTTGTTGTATTTCATTCTTCTTACTGTTAATGTGTTTGATAAAATATTTCAATAAGGTTGTCTGTCATATACAACAATAATATTATTAATGTCTTATCCTCTTTTCAGATACATATGTACTTAGCTAGTTTGTTGTGTAATGATTTATGCGTGCCCCGTAACTTGTTACAGATGATATTTTGGGAGGTGCCTACGAACTAAAAGTGTATTTTTTTAGATTTAATTTTCGTTGTCATAATGTAGATTGTATTGTCAACCTTCACGGAAGATGATAAAGATGTGATATTAATTTCTTTAACAGTGGCGTTGCTAAGGAAAGCATTTAAGTAGTTAGTTTAATTAATAAACTTACACTATTTATTTTATTTTTTGGTTCATCAAACCTGTCTAGTATTTAAAATATTTCTGTTTTAAATGGTAAAAAGTTATATATATTATGTAAAATTTTGCTGAGGGCTTTGCTTATCGACGTAGTAGCCGCGGCGCTAACATTAATCATAAAAAGTAATCGTGATCACAAAGAATACATTTTATTATTGTTGACGGTTTTATCTTCAACATTTTATACAAATGCAGATTTATTTAAATTATATTTTGACGTCTAGACACTCAATCTTTGTAATGGATCATTTTCTTATCAAATAAAAGTAATTTCTTCAAAGGTCATAATTGTGTATTGCGTGTATATAAAAATGCAATAACTCATTTTCATTGAAGTTTAACACAAGTACAAATTAATTGAGCACACAGGAGAGAAAAAACTCAAAGCGAACAGAGACAAAATTAGCCCAAATTGTTGCCAAGTCTAAAAGCCAACAGGGTCTACTATTCCCTGAAAGGAGAAGCAGTCGTTTGTTACAAGTATGAGGCGAAGACTACTGGGACCTTAATACCGCCACAAATCATTACCGTTAACCATAGTCACTTTGTCAAGCAGACCAACCTAGCTTTCAAAATACTTACCTTTGTGAAATAAAGATAAATAAATAAATAATAATAAAAAGATTACAAATATTAAAGGCGCCAACCAGAAAGTGAGGGATAGCTATACTAGTACTAATACGCCGGCTAAGCAATATCACAGCCTTACAGAATACTGGCTTGAAATAATTGCGTTCTACAATATTATGAGTGAGACCCACACATTACGAGTGACACCCCCACTTCAACCCCTATCCTCAAATCCCCAACAACTCACAAGATGTCGGCAAAACACTTGTACTCTTGCGGTGTTGGAGGTGTCAAAAGCAACGCTGATTGCTTTCCAACAGGTGATCCCGGATCACCAGATGTGATCAAAACTATCAAACTGTCCCATCAAAAACAAAAGATGTTCTAATAGAAAGTTTAACAAACTTATTAGATTACTTGACCGACGTGAAATGTTTAATGATAGTCCAAAGACAACTCAAGGTTACAAATAAAATATTTTTGTGCTATATGCTTTTGGTATCACTTGAACAGTCAGTAGACCGAGGTTAAGTAAGGGTCCCTGGCTTTTGGCAAGTGGGCTCCTCCGGTACCATTGTGACATTCCTGTATTGCACTTTCTAAGAATTAATTACCGTCATATGATGCAAGAAAACACGGAAGGAAACCTTTTTTTTGTCAGGGGAAAATCATCAAATGACCTCTCCCGCCCAGGGAAGGCGAGAGAGAGTGTCAGTCTCTTACTGACTGAAATCCCTCCCCCCCCCCCTCCGTTCCTTCTCCTGCTCTGGGCCGAGGTCGCGGTGACTCATTGCGCTTAACCCGCAACCCCGGCTATGAAGGGAAACCTGGAGTTATAATATAAGAAATAAAAATAATTTTAATCGCCAATCCGCCTTAACATTGTCAAGAATTGATAGAGTAATGAATGATGTGTAATGTGTATGGTGTAAAATGGTAAATGTTCATAGCACTACTCGACCCTATTGTAACTGAGCAATCGTGATTGTGGGCTCCATAACAATGTCTGTCATTGTCACGTCCCTTGTCAATGAATTCATATTGTGTTCTGACACTTGTTTCTTCTAAAAATAACTTCCCGTGTATGAAATAGTTACACAGTATTTTTTTCCTTAAAGTTCCTTAAGATAGATTCTGTGTTTAAGATGATAACACATATATATTGTCTATGTAATATATCGAAAACTCAACTGCTTACTATAGAGATGTTTCTGGGACAGAGCAAGCCCATATATTCTTGATGAGAGGAAAATCATTGAATAACTTCTCTCGCCCAAGGTCAGGTAGGAGAGATTGTCAGACTCTTACTGACTAAACCCCCTCCTTCCGTTCCTTCTCCTGCTCTGGGCCGATGCCGCGGTGAGTTATTGCGCTTGTACCCGCCTCGTCGGCTGAACATCAGCCCCATAGGGCCCCGTCTGTAATAGTCTATTGGCTCTTTCGGGACGTCACTAGTCTTGAGGTGTCCACTTGCTGAGCAAAGACCAATTTTTACAAAGAGAACGTTTGAACACAAATCACCACGCAAGGCGTATTGGCGATTTTAAACTTATGATTATAAATATTAAGTTCATGTTTTCGCACTAGCTTTTCTTATAGGTACCGTATGTCAGTGGTGGAGGTTTAAATAATCTTTGAATTTACATACAAATTGGAAAAATCACACTGGTACTAGTCAGATTTTGGAGCCACACTTGAGAAGCAGGCACCTTAACCTCCGAGCCACCATAATAGGTACCTGGATTAGTTGAAATAAATGCACTTTGGCCTTTTTTTCCGTCCTCCTTTTACAGACGTACCTAGGTACTCTTTTGGATGTCATTGCACATCGCAATTGGTATTGCGATCTGAGTATATTCTTAAACCATGAGGGAGAGATGACACAGCGCACTCTATCGCTCGTATGGTCGAAATGCGATTTCCCAAAACGATTTTATTATAAGAGATTTTGTTTAATAAAGGACGTTTCGACGATGTGACTATTAATATAGATTTTACGTCTAAAGTAGCTTTAATGAAATCCAGTCAGCTGATTGAAGTAAATCAGAATAAAAAAGGAAATTATAGGTTCTAAAAACATTTTATCACCCCTAACTTACGATTTAAAAAGAAAAAGGCTATTTGCACAGACATGCCTTTTATAGATCGAGTATCTTATCTACTAGGATAGGTCCGCTCATCAGTCATATAAAAAGTCAAAATCAAAATCATTTATTCCAACTAAACAATAATTATTTTGAAACATCAAAATAGAATAAGCCGGTCAGCCTGTTCGTCAGTAAAGCTAGGTGCACGTTCCAAAGTGTAGATTCGAATGGAAAAGAACGAACAAGAAATAGACTCTGTCAAAAACTTTTTTTAACAGGTTTTTGTTTTACATTGAATGGGAGAATCGGATAGCTGCAATCCCCCGCCCCGAAACCAGTACTCACAAACAGCCGAGTTTTATTCATCCTTGAATCTCTAAAAACCCACAAAAGGTCGGCAATGCACTAGTAGAAGGTAACTATTTTTGAGATTATAGGTGTCCATAGGCGGCACCGAAGTTCAGGTTATCTGTCTCCTTCTTTACCGACCTATAGCATAAAAGAGGATGCTTTTACTATAAATACCTAAGCAAGCCTCTTCACCATTAAGTGGTTGTAAGTGATTCTAAATAAGACAAAGATTTTTTCCCCTGGGTTTCGAGGAGTGAGATCCCTGTCTAGGTTAATTTTATTATTCGATTTTCGAAATTCATCGCCTTCTTCACAAATAGCCAAGTTTTATATTAACCCCTGTGTCCGTTGTCAGAGTTATATATATTTTTTTTATTAAGATACAGTGACTCTGAAGCCCGCTTTTTTCTTATCTTGTTTGCAATTAAAACGCAACCTGATTTGATCACATTTTTAATTCTTTGTACAAAACACAATCAATGAATATCAATCTTGTACAAAGGACCTAATGGAAATGGATGAATAAGTTAAAAAAATCGTTTAAAATCGTCCAAAATAAAAATCAATTGTCATGTCATTAACATTTACTTTACAAAGGTTATTTACATAGATTACGACACGTACCTATGCAACCATACTAAGCAAAAAACAGAACAAAAATCATGATATCGTCAAGCGTGGCCTGGCTCATAGTCCACAGCTGGACGAACTAGACTGGACTGTAATCTCGTCTGCATTACAGAGATCTGTCATAATGACCAAGCGGAATAGTTATAGCAGGTTCGTAGTTTCAAAGATCCAGGTTTATCGTGCTGACACCTTACGATGCCCACGTCAGGAGGAAGGAAGGAATTTTTATTTTTGAGGGTGGAAAAATCATCTATTAACCGTATACAGTTACACGCTTATTTAACGGAAAAGACATGACGTCACAACACACAACGCAATAAATTGAATACAAGCCTAACCAATATTTAAAAAACATAATTGATTGGCTATGGTTTGTGTGGCAGCTGTTACATGCATACATACCTTCCTAGGTAGATTTCCGTTTACATCACCTTTAATAGTAATTTATTTAAATATATTTTAATCTGCGGAGTAGAGGATTATGAATAAATTATAAAATGTGTCATGAAAATTGTCAATTTTGAATTTGAAAAAAAAAATCTCATTTTTTAAATATCTAAATAAATAAATAAATATTATAAATGTCATAGTATTTTTTTATGTAATAAGTCGGCAAACGAGCGAGAATTACATGATGGTAAGCATTCAGCGCCGCCTTTGGACAGCCGCAACAACAAAAGAGTTACGAGTGCTTTGCTGATCTAAAGGATTAGTGATTTAGAGATTAAGGGATTGGGGGAGGGGAAGGATTGGACCTCATATACTTATTTAGCCACTTTGACCGCATCATAAGTCAAGTATCCACAAACGTGACTACCTAGGAACCTTAATTCCAAGAAGTGGTAAAAAATTATTGAGTTGGTATATTTTCCCAAATAAACCAGTAATGTCTCAACGGATACACGGAGATTAACATCTGGTGAAACGTACATACAATTACATATTATGTTTTATGAGAGTGGTGTTGATTTGTTAAATAATTATAAAATTCAAAACTATTTTCGAATTGTCAAAACTTTAGGCTCTCTGTGAATCTTGTACGATATTGTGTTTAAAATTAATTGAATTTTAAGTTGTGTTGTCATGATTTTTGCGTCAAATACACGCACAAATATTTCTTGACATAAGCTAAAAAAATAGAAATATAAAGAACTAGCTGCCCATCCCGGCTTCGCACGGGTCCAGAGCTGATACTAAAATTACCCGCTATTTAATGGATTTTTATTAAATTTCTTCAAAAAAAACCTTTGTCTTCATTCACTCTATTTATTAAAAGAAACCGCATCAAAATGCGTTGTGAAGTTTTAAAGGGTAGAGCATATTCAAGGAAATATGGACAGAGAAAACGACTTTGTTTTTATACTATGTAGTGATATTACCAATGAATGAAACTGTGATTATTTATTATATTCATTTGAAAATCCAAAATAATTTGTTTTCGACTCAATCAAATCGACTCAGTCAATGTTACAGTATCAACAGGTCAGTCAGGTAAAATCTGGCTTATTGTTTCCTAAATAAGAGGTGACTACATTCACTTAGCCCGTAATAAGCCACAATTGAGTCTGTTCTCAATAATTAAATATATCCAGTTGCATAAATACCAAAATCTAAGTTTCTTAAGCTTAAAGATAGATAAACTATCTAGGAACGTAGGGAGCTTCTGAATGGAGGTCCCTTCGTGCATTGGCTTCTTGGTAACAGAATGTTCTTTGGCTGATATTACATGAATAATAGTCCTCCTAGTCGTATTGTAAAAACCAGATAAAATTACAAACTTTATATGTACTTTTACAGGAAATTCTGGAATGTACGATCCTTGGAAGCTCCTACATGATGGTAGCAATATCACATATAACCACAAAGTACATAAAGAAGTATTTTCTTTACCTATTCTTTAAAAATATCAGCAACACAAGTTTAATTAAAGATTCAACATCTGTTCGCTTTGGGTTTTCAGCATTATCCTTTGTTAGCAAACTGCGATTTAAAATCAATGATCCATTCTGTTTGTTGTAATGAATACTGACAGCGAACTAAATCTCTGGTTTAACGGCCGTTTATGTCGCTATTTCTCCTCGTGCACTTTCAACGGATACATTTTTGGCTCCGATATCGGTTTTCACGTCGTATTTTATAGCTTTGCGCCCTGCAGAGATTCACTACGGGTATTCTAAATCAAACATTACATTAAATGCTGAACTAAGTACAAATCCGCGTTTGGAATTAAAAAAACATTTTCCAATTACTTTATAAATTCTATATAACCAAGCTCACAACAAAAACGAATAGAAATTTCTTTCAATTGGGTATCAATTGTGGATACGCGAACATTTCTTGCACCAATTTCATTCCTCATGAATATGTAACCGAACATTCAAACATGAAGTAATATAACAAAATTGATTGACTATGGTTTGTGTGGCAGCTGTTACATGCATACATACCTTCCTAGGTAGATTTCCGTTTACGTTACTTGTCATGGTAATTTATTTAAATATATTTTAATTGGCTGAGTACCTAGAGGAAATCTGTAAATAAATAATAAAATGTAAACAGAAATGTGTCCTAGAGAATTAGCTGATCCTAATACGAGAATGTGCAATGCTAAGACTTCTTATTTTATTTTTATTTTTCGATATTATTTTCATACTTTACTTCATTCTCACAGCGTTTACACTATGAATTACGAAGCATAGCACGAGACCTCGCTCAAAGTTTTATGATCGAAGGTGTGCATTGAACGATACGGCTCACACATATTGTATCTAATGTCTCTTAGGTCAGGGGCTATTCTCAAAACTATTAAATATTTCATCCTAGTCCTATATTATTTTCAGTCACCTTATTTTCACTAATAAATATTATTTAGAAAAACAATCAGATAGGTAGTCCTTTCAATCCACAAAAGGCACCTCCGTAATCCAAATTCAATTATTATACCATTTCACAAATAATGTCAACAAGAGCTATTTTTCAATAACAATTAAGATTTATAACAAACAATAGCCTCTGACTCTGGAAATGGTGTGAACCGTATCGCTCAATGCCATGTGCTGTGGCTCCGTGGCTCGAACTGACGTGAGCTGGTCTGTGCAGCCGTGTCTCCGTGATGAGGGGTCAAGTGGTCTCACCACAAGGCCTTGGTATCATCGGCATCAGGGTCTCCGTCGACCGCGAGGCTCGCTTCGGATTTACTCTCACCAGACAGGGCGGATGGTTAGTAGAAGAAGTGTTTTTTTTTTTCTTTTATTTGTTTTCTACCTTTGTGATTTTTACATCTGAGTGTGTTTGTTGATTGGTAAGTAAAGTGTACTGTTTTTGTATTTTTTATGTCATGTACTTATTATATATATTACAATATCGCTAACATAAAAGTTATATTAAAGTTAAAAATATATAAATTAGATATTCAAAATTAAAAGCAGCAAAAATATCAAGTTTATATTCTACCTAATCTGAAATACTTTACTGCAGATAATGTTAAAATTAATTACGCTAAAGGTATCTACGCCCATTTTATTTAATTAACTCGAAACTATTTTCTCTTTTTCAAGCTACATTTAAAAACGGTTACACTAACAAGTAATTTTAATTGATGTGTTTACTTCAATTAAGTATCAACTGACTTTATTTACAACGCGACTCAGGCATCTTAGTAAATATAGCAAGTTGTTTAAAAACGCCAACCATTAAAAAATATTTAAGAAACGTAATTGTTCTTTAGTTGAAGAAAACACGGCATGTAAACATGAATTAAGGTGAATCACCGTAACTTAGATAAACACAGCGTAAATAAACGAATAAAAATAAAATTATTTGGCATCGACCGCTCAGGGCATAGCTATCAAAGCGATGTTTAAATATAAAGTTTACAACGATAGAAAATAGAAAAATCCCTTTAGTCACGATGATCGTTGAGTCATGGAACTAAATTGTTTTAAACATAGTAATTGAACATAGCGTGACAAACAAAAATATTTGAACAAATGTCTGTACAAACATTTGTGTTTATTCGTATAGAATCGTCATTAATTTTCGGACACGGTCTTTCATATTCCTCGCACGTACGTGAAGGCATCAAGTATAAAATCGAATTAGGCGGCGGAACGAAACCTGTATCATGTGAACATGTTATCAAATAACACGTCACGTTTTATCTTTTAAAAATCAATTACCGTAACTCAGTAAGTGTTTACGTATAGTTTTAAAACTTACTAAAACTATTGCCGGTAGCGTTCCCAAATAATAAACGAATTGATCGTTCCAAATGTTCAAAGTTCCGTAATTTAACGGCTCCACTTCGAGACTACTTACTTTAATGACGTTTTCAGTAATGAAGCACGATTTCGAAATTCTTAGAAATAAGCAGAAAAAAATCACCAGCGCTTTTATTTGTTCTCAAGATCGTAAATAACGTCACGGAGCCTAGCAAAAAATTTAACGGGAAGGAACGTCGCTTTTTTTCCTTTACTCGAAGTGCTGATTATCAAACTAAACCCCTGCTCAACACGTTCCGATAACAAACTCTCATTAAAGGTAAAAAACGTTGGAAAGAAACAAAGAAAAACTGAAAAATATTGTGCGGACGTTGTTTAAATTAATGACAAGAAAAATATTATAAGGGATCATTAAAACGGAGGAATGGAATACGAGTACCTACTAACAGTACTTGTTACAGCATTTTACGAGGATTAACTGCACTTTTATCTTTTCTACCTAACGAGGCATTTTATATTATTTAGTACCTACTTGTGTATCTGTTTTTAGAAGACAAGTAGGCTAGAATTAAACATTAACGCGTGCCTTGTACGAAGTACGCGTTGACGGTAGCGTTTAAGTTTTTTTTTAAATATAAATGATTATCTGTCTATCTTTTTCAATGTAATTGCTTGAAATTAAAAAAGGCTGTAAGGTTTACAAATTGCTGATGTAAGGTTTGAAAATATTAATTATTTTCTTCGCAATTCATTTATACAAGGACAAGTATTTTCAATTTGGATGAAATACTTTATTAACATTACTGCAATCCTAGTGTAGCATATTAAATCAATTTGGTTATTCTTGCAATTGCTTGAGTACAGCAATTTAACATTAAAAAACCAATCGCACAATGTATTTATTTGAAGCAAATGTGGTAATTAGAATAACATTTAAGCAACCAGTTTAAGTACCGTGAAGGAAAAATTAAAAACATATCTAAGCTTTTCGTTATTAAAACTGCAACTTAGGTCAATGTGCGTATAGTCTAGCTTTGCCTCAAGCCCATGCGCCCGGTACTTAAGTAGGTACATCACAATATTTGTAACGTCACAAGCCGCATTAAAATACTACATAACCATTTTCTCATCTTCAATAACATCATCATCATCCAGGTTTGACGTGCTGGTGAATGGAGGAGGTGCGGTAACGCTGCAGTTCCAGAGATCACCATTCAAGCCGCTGAGGAAGACTGTCTTCGTACCTTGGAACCAGATCGTTGTACTGCCACCAGTGCAGATGGAACTAAGTGACGACAACGTTAAAGTACCAACGCCCAGGTGAGCCAGGATTCTCAATAACGTACATATATTTAACAAAACATGTGTGTTGCAGGTTTCAGGATAAATATATATGTATGTATTGGTATTAATAATATAGTAGTTGATTATATTCTAGAGTTAGATTTATATATTAATGCAGAGTACCCAGGTAGTATAGGACATGTAAAAAACCTTGCGTCTGATTTTCTCCTGCGTGTGTCTTGGGTGCGTTTGCAAACGTACAATTTTACATAGACATCATTTTGGATAGGTACAACATTGTTCAAATAGATATAAGAGTCTACGAAGAGTTTACTTTTTATTTATCTAACCTATTATTCAGTTTTAACAAATGGTGCCTCAATTTCTAAGTCCAATATACTAATACAGTAAAATTTTTAGGGCTCCACCTCGCATCGGCTGGTCTCCAACTCCACAATGGTGGGAGGCAGAAACTCCGCCTTGTGCTGCACATGACCACGAACGTTTAAGGCCTGAAGTAGTAGCGGTTCCACCACTCGCAGCACCCGCTGCCTCATCAGCTACTACGACCACTGTCATTTACCCTGAGGCTCAGGTAAATAGTTACAAACAGTTAAATTGAGAAAAAGAAATATACCAATGCTAAAGTTTCACGTATCCCAACGGACCCAATTAAAGACCAAGACCACCGCCACTTCAGTAGATGTCTTGTTTGGCCCCTATCTGTCTTCAAATTTTATTTACAAGTTGTCAATATTGCTGTGGTCTAACAGATTCAATCTCTAACTAACAAATTTTCTTTTTTCCAGATTGTAAGCGAATCTATTGGCATACCTGGGTCGTTGGTGAAGCTTACGTACCGTTCTTCCCAATCAGCTGGGTATCTGTCTTGCGTCCATGTTCAGCTTACTCGTCGTATAGTCCCAGCATCCCTCATACGAGTACATGTCCGCGTTGAAATCGAGGGCTCCTTACACACGCACACTTACGAAGCTGATCCCGATTTGACTCATATCTTCGCATGGAACAAACGAAACGTATACAAACAAAAGGTAGGAATCAAAGAACCAAAATTGAATAAAACTACGATATTTTCTAATGGAAATCCTTAGTTCGTTTTTATAAACAAATGTGTGCAATTCCAATTATTCCAGGTATATGGCCAAGCTCAAGCTAAAATATCAATTGGATACGAATACACATCTTGCGCATCTATCGTCTGGGAGACACAAACAGCAACTCTGGCCGGTTTCGACGTGGACATATCAGATATTGGAGGATGGGGTTTGGACATACACCACCATTACAACTTCCACGAGGGTATTCTGCAAAAGGGTGACGGAGCTCTTCTTCACCTGAAACAATATCCTCGTACCGTACAGGTAAACATTTACAAACATAAACTCATCAAATTTTAACATAAGTAACTTAACTTAATTCTATAGCTTTGATTACATTACGTAATTCAAAAAAATGGACTAATAATTTTTATCTTTTCTAGGTTGTAATGGGAACAGGTCTCCAACGATCCCTGGAATGTCCTGACCACTGCAATGGCAAGGCAGCTGACGCTCGTCTCTTGACTCCGACAGCACTTACATCAGGTCCAGATGGGTCTCTGTATGTTGGTGATTTCAATCTTGTAAGACGTATCACTCCTGAGGGCGTTGTTACTACAGTTCTTCAACTACAGTAAGTTCTGCAGATTTCATTAAATTTTTTCATGCATTTTACCAATAATCATAAGTATTGACGGAATTATATTTTTCTTTCAGAACTACGCAAGTTGCATATCAATATTATATCTGCATATCACCAGCGGATGGATATCTTTACATATCAGATTCAGAGAGACATCAAGTCCGAAGAGTGATAGCTTTAGAAAAGGTCAGAGATCCAGCCACCAATTCTGAAGCTGTTGTTGGTAACGGAGACCGTTGCGTGCCTGGAGATGATTCCAACTGTGGTGATGAAGGTCCGGCAATCAAAGCTAAACTGGCTCATCCTAAAGGTACAATATTATTTTCAAACATCCTTCAATTTACTACATTTATTTTATTTTTTACTTATTTCAATTAATCAATCTACTTGTTTTTTCTAGGTCTTGCAATTGCAGCAGATAGAACCATGTACATCGCAGATGGAACCAACATCAGGGCAGTTGACCCCAATGGTATTATACATACTCTTGTAGGACATCACGGTCATCATAACCACTGGTCACCAGTTCCGTGCCGAGGAGCAATCCCACCTTATGAAGCACAGCTACAATGGCCGACTGGAGTAGCCCTATCCCCACTTGACGGATCTCTGTACTTTATAGACGATAGAATCATACTGAAATTAACTGTTGATATGAAAATCAAGGTGGTCGCTGGCCAACCATCACATTGCCGCCTAGGAAACGATGGAAAACCTGTTGCTAAGCCTGCTAATCGAACAAATACTGACATTAGAGAAGATTCTAGCTTAGGCACTATACTAGCTATAGCCTTTGCACCTAGTGGTATTCTGTATGTCGCTGAGGCAGATTCAAAGAAAACGAACGCTATTAAATCTATTGACCCATCTGGAAAGATCATGCATTTCGCTGGAAAAGTACAAGAGAACTTGAAAGAATTAAGCTGTGAATGCAATTCCTCGGCGTCTGCAACAGCTGTACCTACGAATTCACGGGATGATGCTGGTTGCCCATGTAGACTTAGCGTGGCGGCAGGTGATGAACCTCCTACAAGCACGGAAACTTTATTATCTTCAAACGCTAAATTCCAAACGATTTCTGCTCTTGCCGTAACTCCAGATGGAGTTCTCAACGTAGTTGACCAAGGTAATTAATTTAGTCTTAACTAGTATAAATTATACAAATATCCGCTCTTGTACTCATCACATTAATTATGCCCATACTTCTTACAGGATCTCTTCATATTTTGGCCCTAAAACACTACTTGCCAACTCATGACGAAAACGGAGAATTTAGAATACCTTACCCACCAACATCAGAGATATATGTATTCAACCGCTATGGTCAACATATCACTACAAAAGACTTGACGTCAGGCAAAACAAGATACTCATTCCTGTATTCTAAGAATACAAGTTTCGGGAAACTATCAACAGTAACTGACGCATCTGGAAATAAAATACAATTGCTAAGAGATTATAGCAATATTGTAAGTTCCATCGAAAATACACAAGACCATAAACTGGAGTTGAAGATATCTGGAATTGGTTACTTGACTAGAATATCAGAGAAAGGTTCCACCGAAATGGAATTTGATTATGATGCAAGTACTGGATTACTGAACAGTCGATCAGGGGTAAGTTGTTTCATAATTCTCGCGGTTAATAATTTTATTTTTTCTCTTTAAGGATTTATCTAAATACATTTTTCATTTTCAGGCTGGTGATACTGTAATCTACAATTACGACGAACTAGGAAGAGTAACGAAAATTATCATGCCATCGGGTGAGCAAGTTCATATAACTTCGGGGCTTGCCAAGAATTATGGATTAGCTGTCACTGTCTCAAACCCATCAAGCACTATACCCGTAGGAGTTGCCAAGAAATGTGAATACGTATTACATGGTCAATCGTTCAAACAAATTACTATAAATAACGGTAAACAAATAACCGAAGGCAAAATTTATACGAACAACACGCTACTCCTTGAAACACCTTGGGCAGGAAAGTTCGAAAGTATCGCCGCTGCAAAACACCCACTCCTAGAAGCTGCCTTACCAATTGAAGCTGAAATGCTCCACATGTGGTCACATCAAACCACTACATTTGGAGATGCATTAGTAAACAACATGTATTCATTGTACACTCTCGTAGGCGATGTACGGAATCCTCAACAAACCTTGAATAGGGAAATATGGGTAAATGATTCCAGAGTGCTTATAATTGAATTCGATCAGTTTAAGAGCCGTGAAACTTTCTTCAACGCTGATAGAAACCCATTGTTTACCATCTCCTATGATGTTGCTGGACTGCCACTTTCGTTTAACCCTCATGGAGCTGGAGCTCCTCTCAATATTTCATACGATAGATTCAATAGAATCAACGGTTGGAAATGGGGTGACAGTGAAGAAAGCTATAGCTATGATCCACATGGTATGCTTTCGGAGATTACAAGTCCGCAAGATGGTACCAAGTTCATTTACTACAATGAAGGCAACCTTGTGTCCAAGATAAGCTTAGCCAGCCAAAGAAGCTTCAAATACAAGTACGATAACGATGGCGGACTAACACACGTTATCTTGCCTTCGGGATCAAATCACTCATTCAGTGTGCAACCATCTATTGGATTCCTGCGAGTAACATACACGCCACCTGGTTCATCCAAGAAATATCTGCAACACTATGCCCACACCGGCGAACTTCTGCAGACAGTATTCCCAGGCGATGGAGCCAGAGTTGTCTATCGTTATTTCACAACGAATAAAGTATCTGAAGTCATTCATGGAGATGGTCAAACACAGATCCACTACGCTGAAGCCAGTGGTCTACCATCAGAAATATTACATGTTGACCGAGATGTAGACTATCGATGGGAATCCACTTACGTAGGTGGACTACTTACTGAAGAAAGGCTTGACTACGGTGCCAAAACTGGACTCAGTAATGCGAAAATTATTTACGAATACGACAACAATTATAGAATAACTTCCGTCCAAGGTAGAATTGGTGGGCAAACGCTAATACCACATCACATTGTTTACAACAGCAAAACTGGTGCTCCGGAAATACTTGGACAATTTACTGTATCAAAACAGAAATGGAATGAAACCTCTGTATACGACGGAATAGCCATGTTCTCTCGCTTACTTAACGACCAATTCTTAGAAAAGGAAGTTACTGTGAATATCCACAGAATGGAAGTATTCCGAATGGAGTTTTCATATGACAGGCATGGAAGAATATCTCAAACACGCACCCATACACGAAATGTGGGTGTTAATACTTACACCAACGTCAAAAACTATACTTGGGACTGCGATGGTCAACTAACCGGAGTCGAAGCTCAAGAACCATGGGGCTTTAGATATGATGACAACGGCAACATGTTATCACTGACTTACAGAGGTAATACTATTCCTATGGAATACAATGATATGGATCGGATTGTCAAATTTGGCGAGGGTCAATATAGATACGATAGCCGTGGTCTGGTGTCTCAAAATGCAAGAGAAGAAAGATTCCAATATAATTCTAAAGGACTTTTGATTAGAGCAACAAAACGTGGAAGATTTGATGTTCGATACTTCTACGATCATCTAGACAGGTATGCATAAAATAAACTTAATATTCACTGCTCTAAAATTTGACTGTGAAAAATTCTGTTACTTATGATTTTTTATTTTTTCAGACTATCAACAAGAAAAGATAACTTCGGTAATGTTACGCAATTTTTCTATACAAACAAAGATAGACCACACGAAGTCAGTCATATTTATTCGCCACGTGAAAACAGATTTATGACACTGGTATATGACGACAGAGGACATCTGATCTACACACAGGTACGTAGCGACATAACAGGAAAAATATAATATAAAAAGTGCCTAATAGATGAAAAGTTTCTAATAATAAATTTCCTCTGATTTCAGGTTGCTCGCCATAAATATTACATTGCAACGGACCAATGTGGTACACCTGTGATGATTTTCAATCAATATGGAGAAGGAATAAGAGAAATTATGAGATCTCCATACGGCCATATCGTATATGATTCTAATCCATACTTATATCTTCCCGTTGATTTCTGTGGAGGACTCCTGGATCAAGTCACGTCACTAGTCCATATGGCAAATGGAAAAGTTTATGACCCCTTGATTGGACAATGGATGTCTCCGCTGTGGGAAAATCTCATTGAGAGGATTCACAACCCAACGCAGTTACATCTCTATAGATTCAATGGGAACGATCCTATCAATGTACGGCCACAGAACAAAAAACCAACAGGTACAGCTCATTTCCTTCGACTTTCTATTCAATAAATTGTGATATTCTTAACATTTATTGATTAACTTTTTCATTTGTTTTAGATCACCTGTCATGGCTCAAATTACTTGGCTATGATACAAAGAGTCTTGCGCCTCAACTATACCCTGATGAACTTCCTGGTGGCTCAGTGTTACCGAGCATTCCTCGTGGTCGGCCAGTTTGGGGCACCGCGCCAGCTGATACTAGTCCTGGACTTCCTTCTGCCATGTCTCTACTTCCAACAGTCACTATAGAATCAGGCTTCCTCTCACACATGTCAAATAAGAGGATAGCCGATTTCAGAAGTTTGTCTATCCCAGCAATGTCAGCACTCAAGACTGACGCCCTGAACCTGGCTCCTAAACGTATAGGATCTGACTCTGAGCCACCATTCGGACGTGGTATCTTAGTCTCACGCAACTCTCGTGGTCGTGCAGTTGTTACCACCGTGCCTTCGGCTAACGCTATCTACCGCGATGTTTACACTTCAGTCTTCAATCGATCTCATCTTCTGCCGTTCTCATTCGTTGTTCATGGTGATCAACAAGATGTCTTCTATTTTGTCAAAGAAGATACCTGGCGTGCCGCAGACGATAAGCAACAGCTGAAACGAATGCAAGGAAAGCTAAATGTAACATTCCATGAAGTTGCTGAGGGAGGACGTTCATACGCGGACGTTAAAATTCATGGAAAAACAAGTATAGTCAATCTACGGTATGGCACCAGTGCGGAACGGGAGCGACAACGACTGCTGCACCATGCACGGGCTGCAGCCGTACGGAAAGCGTGGCACCGCGAGCGCGAGGCGCTGCGCAGTGGACTCGGTGGCTCGCTGGACTGGTCCGCGGCCGAGTTAGATGAAATTCAGAAGGCTGGATCAGCAGCTGGCTACGAAGGAGAGTACGTGCACGACGTAGCGCGATACCCAGAACTAGCCGAGGACCCGTACAATATCCGCTTCGTGAAGAAGCGGTCGGACCGCGCCGAGCGCCGGCGGCGGAAGCGCTCAGACTGCCACGGGGCCTGGTGGCTCGCCTGGGACGAACTCTGCTAGTGACGTGCCGCCATCCATATGCCAAATGGTGTGAATGTGAAATAGGTGTGTGTAAACGGTGAGGTATGATCGTGCGAGTGTGTGTGGAATATATTTTGTAAATAGTCTCTATTAATTGTTAATTGTTGATGTATGTATGTACGGTAGATGCGAATCCCTATCGCTGTGTAAATAATAAAATTTAATTTGCAGGGAGAGAATGGACCTTTTGAGAGGACTGATATTAAAAATAAATGTAATGTATGTATAGATAAGATTTATGTGAATATGAAATTATTTATACTTATTTATCGGTAAAAAAGCTTCATTGTGTCCAATGTTCTTATAAATTTAGATGAAGACTATTTGAAAGAATAAAAAGGCATACTTTTTTAACCAAACAAAACTGTTGTTTCCTTTATTCTCCAATAGATATAGGCTGTAACAGATTTACATAATATGTTAAATAATATGTTGCGGATTCAATTCCTGCAATAAACAATTCCTAATGTGATCCGCAAATTGTTGTTCCAGGGCTAAGATATCTTAAAAAACAAAGAACTTTTTAAAATAAATTATTTTGTTACCTTTTTTTACTAAAATAAAATGCGCCACCTAATTTAGGTAGGTACTTTAAATAAACGTGTGTTATCTTTAAAGATAACTACAATTAGGACAACAGTTTTTGATTTAAGGGCAAAGTCCCTGTGACTTGGCCGACGTTGTTAATGCCCGTCAGTCGTGGCAGAGAGGAATAAAATCAAAATTCTTGCCCACCAGTGGTAGACTAAACCCATTAGTTACAATAGTTATTCTAATGTCAACTAGTAAGTCCGAAGCAGAATGGGGGCCTAAGATATACACTCATTAAGGAGTAGTAACAACGATAATTATAGTAATAGGTCGGCAAACGAGCAGACGGATTACCTGAAGGTAAGCAATCAGCGTCGCCCATGGATGCCGCAACGGAGGAGTTAGGAGTGCGTTGCCAACCGTAAGGGGAAGGATTGGGGCTCCGGTAACCTCACTCACACGACAAAACACAACGCTGTGGCTGTTTCACACGGTGGTTTTCTGTGAGGCCGTGGTATCGCTCCGGTCGAGCCGACCTATTCGTGCCGAAGCATGGCTCTCCCACACTTGAATTAATATGTATTAGTAACAAGAATATCTTTTACCCGCTTTTCTAAATTTTAATGTGATGAAGTCCTAGTTGTTCGAAGCAATTAAGACAATTTTTATAGCAACTGGTGCAACTAGAATGAGAAATAAATGTGTATTTTTTAGTTCATTTGGCGGGCAGCTTCCTGGAAACCAGATTTTGGGCTACGGGGGGAATATCTAAGTAAATATTATTATGCAATATGTTAAAAAATATGTTTTAATAATAGTTTAATTAAATCAAAATGCATAAAATGTGACAGAAAGAAATGACTATAAGTACTTGCGAGTATTTAATTGGTGATAGGTCTCATAATCTTAGAAAATGAAGGCTCTAGGCCCGAAAAGGTTATGAAAATTAAAACGTATATTTTGTGTAAAAGTTATTTATTTATGTTCGAACCGTCAATCTTTGAACAACGTATTCAAGTTAATTTTTACAATATCAATTTTATACACAAAATCCATGTCAACGCAATCATAAAAATTTTATTGTACACCATTATGTTATAAACGTTTGAATGCATTATCACATGTCATCTAAAATAAAATAATATTTACAATGCGGTTTAATCGACCTAGTTGACACTGAAAACTTCATACAACCTCGAACTGAGTAATAATGTTTTATTTATAAAAATCTCCTTTCGAAAATATATACAATAATATTATTTTATTATTTCTTAAAATATAGGTACATTCGCATGTTCAAATAAACTTTATGTTACAATCGTCTACACATTGAGCTACATGTCCGTAAACAAATGAGATCAACAAAACGCACAGTTACTCATCTACACCTCGACTTATGCAATATTTGTGTTAATAGCAAAATATGTCCACGCAATCTATCATACACCTAGGTAGTACAATATCTACAGAACAAAATAGTTTCTCTTATCTAGGCATGTCATAGAATGCCAGTATGAACACATCTCGTTAACTAAAATAAATAGTAAATACAGCGACACCGCTACGTACTAGTACAAAAAACTGTACACAATAAAATATATGAAATGATGCCTATTGCAGTATGTCGGCAGGTAACGTTATATTTAATATAGTTGATAAACGTAATGATTGTGCGTGCAAATGTAACAATAACTAGCTCGTAACATATTAAAGAACAAGTAAGGGGACGTAGAAGACAAAGGAACAGCTTCGTTTGTTCATTAAAACATTTTCTCTAATAAGTAGTAGCGAAGACATGCAGAACAGACAATCCCTGTGTGATAGCTGCCCAGTGCACTACGTACTCAAGGCAGAACTAAAAATTCCATTCACATTTTCTGATGACACGTACGCCATCAAATTTCTAAACTATATCTATACATATATGTACAATCTAAACAAAATTTCAATGTGACTTCACTCGTTATTATAAGTGTAGTGGGCAGGTACCAACCTATCTTCAACAATTACCAATATTATGTACTGTTTATATTTGAAACCAGAAGCTTGGCATCTCATTACTGAAGACTTAGCTTGCAGTCACGCTAATATATTCTAGTTTCGTCTAACAAAATTGACAATTCATCTGGGAAACTTGGAAGGAGATTATGTTAGGATAACCTCTAAATGTGCAAGACATCTATTAGTTTCAAATATATCTACATTGCATTGTTATTTTATATTCGTTACTTGCAACGTTCAGCGAGTTCCATAGATTTCAACTAGATTATAAAATACACCACTTTCTATCATCGAGGTAACATATATATATATACTATAAATAGTATTACGTATTTAGATCTAAATCAGATTTATAAGGCTATCTCCCTAATACTAAGAGCGATAATTTTCAATGATTTCAAGACAATACCATATCATTGTAATATTATGCATAGTTATTTGAACAGATATATTGCTCTTTTGATTACATTACAAAAACTATATGAATTCTCTTTTAGTAAAACAAAAAGAAATCTACTCTTTTGAAATCTACAGAACTCGGTTACAATGGCGTAACGCAAACAAATTTCATTACTATTCCCGTAATTTATATTACACTAACATACTGAAAACATAAATTCAACTTTCTTACATTCCAACTACAGTTAGCTGTGATGCTTATTCCAAACTATATTATACATATTTACAACTTATCTAACACAGATTCATGAATCACTGCAAAGTGTTGTACTTCATAAAGTTCCAAACGTCAGTACTAGGTTGTCATATGAACAGTGATTTTATTCTTATTAATTAATACTGATTTACGCGAAATTTTCTACAATGTAGATGTTAGTCAAGTCTCCACACGTAATTAATTAGCTCAATTTAATGAATACATATTAATAATTCATCCTGTGTGCAGATTGCCTAGTTAGAGTTTGCTTTAGATACGTGTATGACGTTCTGCGCCCTGATTGGCCTGCTCCAATTCAACCAACCAATCAGAAGGCGCTAAGCGGTACCATTTCGATCGCGTTTTAAATTTGACACTGGAACAAACTAACTAACAACATTCACATACAGGTATCGTACATAAAATCTTCATTAAGATAATAATATCCGGATTCATCAACAATATAATTTTATTTCACTATGCAGTTAAAATTTAAACTTTATTCTCACAATAAAATTTATGTCATGATCCAATCACGTTCAATGTTGCAATTAATATTCAATTTCATACGCAATAAATATTATAATTTGTGACATTAAAATAATAAAAATACATGATTGAAATAGTATAATTATGATAAATAATTCGAATAAAATAAAATTTGTCAAAGACATGATTGAAAATGAATAATTGGAGAAAATATTAGACATATAGTGTGATGGAACTGATAAATTTAACTATAGGCATAACTGTATCAATGAACACTGCTACATTATAAAAATTCAGTCGTTGTTTCAGACATTATTATATTGGATATAGCAACATTGAGGATACTACTTATATATAAATTTAATATTGAACCTAGTTATGTATTAGAAACCTTCTACGGTGCAGAAAGACCGTAACTTAACCAATGTTATTCCTAAGAGGATTTATAACAACTCCGTGACGTATCATTAAAACAACCATAATTCCACTATTGCATAACGCACATATCTAAGTCTATTTCTCGAATACCGGTGTTTAAAGATGGCCGCCGGGTACGTATGTAGATCACAGCGTGGATACTGCGCACGGCACGAGTCACTATGTCACTAACGTACTGAATAATTTAGCTATGGTTAATATTTACACGTTATTTCACTATGTCGCGTCGCACACTGTGACGTCACTACGAACTGTCCGCATTCGATTTCCGCCGAACTTGTTGAGCGCTCAGCGCCTGCGCTTGCGCCTGGCTGATGAATTGAGTCGTTCCTACGAAACACATTGTGTTAATTTACACCAGTTTCTCAAATATTACGAATATTGTGTCGGATGGAGAACAAAGTTAAGAACGAAAAGGATAAAATGCATACTTAACAGTTGTGATTCAAAGCAATTAAGTTACACTATCTTGTCGAAATGTTGTAAATGGAATAATAATAATAGTAATACACTGAATTAACGTCTTTTCTTTGGAAGTAAATACTAACACATTTTTTTAAGGACCAAAGTCAGATCTTTAAGCGAATTCATAGGCCTTTTAGTTGTATACAGAAGAAATAAGGGAGTAAGTATGAGAATTACCAGTATGCGATGCAGGCGTGAGAGTGGGCGCGGGCATGGCGGGGGGCGCGGCGACGGGAGCGGCGGGGCGCGCGGGGCGCGGGGCGGGGCGCGCCCCTCGCGCACTTCGCACTACCTGCACGCCGCCGCCACGCACGCCGCCCTTCACGCCACCTGACATCAATTGCGCTGTAACATACATTCAGATCAGCCGGCGTTGCGGGGAAAGCGCAATGAGGCACCGCGACCTCGGCCCAGAGCAGGAGAAGGAACGGGGGGTTTTCAGTCAGTAAGAGTCTGACACTCCCTCCCGTCCGGCCCCAGGCGGGAGAAGACATTTGATGTTTTCCCCCTCACAAAAAAAAAACATACATTCAGATACAGTACAATATTATAGAAGTAATTGGTAAGTATTATTGACCAAAAAGAAGGCTCCAATCACAATTAAAACAATTCCGTAGATAAATAAAGCTCCCGTCGTAAGTAGTAGTAATAAGTTAATTGTTCGAAAACCTTTTAGAAAACTGAGGAATCTTGGCATTTGGCACATGGCAATGAGGATAAGCCAAAGTGGATACTTCACCTCGGCATTCTAGGTAACTTAAGGGCATAACCAAAGATAGTGTTATATTTATCTCAAAATAAACATTAATGAAACTAACTTATAAGTTAACAGTGAGACAGGACTTTACTCAGGCTATATTAAAATCTATAGATACTTTTTGTCAGTCGCCAGCATATTGAAAACCTCAAACAGAATAATACTAATTCTGAGATTTTTTTAAATACTGGTTCTGAAATCTAACACTTAAGGTTCGTTAAAAAGGCAGTCATAGAACCATACAATGAAAAATGTGCTTTATTATACAAACTCACCTATTGGCAAAGAGAGCACCGAAGGTTGATTTGTGAGTACGACGGATGTGGTAGGGGGTACCGACACGAGTAAACCACTAGGCGCACCGGAAACGTTCAAGGACAGCGATATCGGTGCAGACAAACCCGGGATCTGTACTTGTACGTTCTGGAGACCCTGAATGCCTTGTAGACCTTGCAGAGATGCTAAACTTAAGCCCTGAAATGTTAAAAGCCAATATATAATTACTATAATCAAAAAAACACTCAAATGCGCATGCGCAAGTGACTCTATATACACAGTATGATGATGGAGGATGAAATGAACATACTATGTATTTAAAACCTACTTTAATAGATTAAAGGAAAAAAATGTCTCTGATATATTTGTTGATGCCCATCGCTAATTTCATAGGAGATACTTTATAATCGTTCTTTTGTAGAAAACTAAGTCGAATCTAATTAGAATTCTCAATTGGTGGTCAATACTTTGTGTCAACACCAAGGGGAGTTTATTGTAAGACAGTCAGTTTCTATTTGCCGTTACCTGCAAATGGCATACGGGTTGTTGCTGCGTAGTGGGCGCGGCCGAAGTGTCGGGCCCCATCAGTCGCTCTAATAAAGCGCTTTCACTACTCGACACATTCGTCGCTTCGTTCTCTCTCGAGTAACCGCTCATTACTTGGACACCAACTCCCTAATAATACAAAATAAGTTATTTCTTTCAACTATACGATTGAACCACCAATTTCGTGTTATATATTCAAATGTTAAAAACGAAAAACTGATGCCAATTGTTTGTGCAAATATGGTTTTTCAATACCTAAACCAATATTAAAAACCTACTAATAATAAAATTTTGACTAAGCCGTTGAATGAAAGTAATAAAATGGGCTATAATTTGTACTATTTACTTACCTGTTGTGTGTATGTAGGTAATGTATGTGATGCGGTTGTGGCAGTGATGATTCTTGCTCCAGCTATAGAGACCCGGCCTAATAGTTTGTGAGCATCTATAGTGTTATTGTCTGCAGTTGATGCGGTGGCGTGCGTCATGGCGGCCGGCGCGCTGTTCAATAAGTTCAGTATCGTCGCATTGCTACTTGCTGTGCTAACTGCCGCTTTCGCTGCGTTTTGACTGGCTGCCGCTGGAAATTTTGGCATTTCAATTATAAATAATTAATTTACAAATTGAATCATGCTTTAAAATGCCTCACAAAGGGCAAAAATGTCTTCTAATTCTAACACAAAAAACTATCAATAAAGACATCATCATGATCATGAATCACCACGCTTATTTGAGAAGACGGGAAGGTAGCTTTTGATTATTTTTTAAAAAGTTTTAGGAAATCCTCTCTAGACACATATTCTGATTGAAAATAAAATTAACTAGCCACTTATTGGATTTCATTTTAGCGGACAAGTTGCCAAAAATGATACAAATTACAAGTAAGCAATCTATCCAGTAACAAACATCCTTAATTCTTTAGGCCATTTATGCAGATCTTTTATCTACATCTCATATACGCCTTTTAACAAGTTAAGTAAGCATATAATGTGTAGATTGAGACAGCAATATTTCCCTTATTGAAATAACGACTTTACGAAAATGAACACTTCAAGTCACCTGGCTGCACGACATCATCGCAATTGTGACTTGAAACTAGTAGAGCTTTTCTCAATTAACTCTCGTAAGTCGTTATTTCATTAAATTCAGTAAGTATCACAATAGTTATTACACGAAAATACTTACCTTGTTGGAATTGTTGTGCAGAATTCATAAGACTAGTCACTAGTGCGCTGATGGCTGGGTTCGTTGTTCTTGGCTTGGTTATTGTCGCCTTCTGTTGCGTGGTGGTCGTGTTCGTATATTGGATGTTCTGCACCTGTTTAGGTTATCGCATAAGTGAATATAAATAAGAGTGGGAGAGCCATGCTTTGGCACTAATAGGCCAGCTCATCTGGGGTGTACCTTCGCCTACCTTTTCGTGAATTTTAAAGCGTGGTGTCATTGCTTCATGGTAAATTTAAATGATCTTCTTAAAAAAAGTCCATTAAATTGTAACTACATTAGTGAGATGTAAAGAGATAAACGACTATTTTTTTTTTACAATACAGAACTAGTATTGAAGAATGCAGACAAATTTAAAGATAATGATATGTATGCTTGACGTCACGTATTATCGAACATCTTTATGTGCAGCCAGACAACATGTGTAGTCTGATATAATTAATTATATTTTATATCCACATGCTTGTTTGTAATATTTTAAAATAATCAATTATGTTATTAAAAGAAATTGTTATCCCCCCCTAACTTCTGTATAAATAAACAATTATTTGTATAGTACTTCTAATAAATTGTGTGTATAAAACAAATAAAATAGTGGACGACATTCGAAAATTAAAACGTATCTTTAGATTTTTACTATATACTAATATATAGAGGAGAATAGAAAAGATGATTTGTTGATCTGACAGCCTAGTAACCTGGGATACACATACACAAATCGGAATGAAGAATTTTGTTTATATTTTTATAAAAAAAGGATATATACCACAAAATATAATAGAAAGGCGAGTGATGCGATGTATTTTTCACTATGCAACTGATATCCAAGAATATGATGTCTACCGACCTCATTGCAATTTTGACAGATTGACTTAAAGTTATTTCTAATAAGACAGAAACAATCAATATATTGTTGATATCTTGAATAGGTGGCAGGAATCTTCCCCTTAATCCTTAGTGGAAGAAAAGGCGTAGTTTTTTTTGTTATACCGGATCTTTGGTAGGAAAAATAGACAGGAATTAGTCCAGTTTTAAGATTGCCCTGTACCTCAGGGTCTTGTATAAAACATGTGTGTATAAATTTTACCTGAGACGTTCCAGCAGTGGACATGAGGGGATGTTGTATGTGTATGATGGCTGACTGCATCTTTTGAGGGTTGATCGGTTGCGGTGGGTTCGTCAACTGCTGGGCTAACAACTGGTTCGTGGACGCCTGCAGACAAGTAATAAATTATTATATTTTGATGTTTATATTAATATGTTTTTTTTTATTTAAACTTTGACTTATGGTCTAATTGAAATGTTTTGGCTTTATGAATCTAAATATATGTAGCGATTGTAAAATTAAATAAGGGCCCTTTTTTCAATGGTTAGATAAAAGTTATCTGAGGAATTATTATGATGCTGTCGCGTCAGAATGTTTGTATAAGACAGCGACAGCAACAATTATATTCCTCAGGTAACATTTATCTGACTATTGATTAAAATCAGCCCTAAACAAAATAAAGCATGATTTTTAAAAAGGTGTTCAACTATAATATATTTGGTTTATGTTGTTCATGATGATGACAATGTACTTATTAGGATAGCTAACTAAAGGTTTATCTAATGTGATCAGTGTACGTAAGGCTTACTAAAAAAGGCAATAATGCATGACCACTAAACTTAAGGATAATGATAGAAAATAATCAACAAACAATATAAATTGATAACCCTCTTAAAAATCGGAGGACAGTCATATAAAATGTAAGCAGATAATGAATGAATCACAATATTCACACACATGCACAAACGCAGTGATAAGTGACTATGTAGGTACATACAAAAGTTATCTCTTAATCAGTTGAGAAGATATGAGGCTAATTTAAGTATTTTTTAACCTTACTCCTTGTTTAATTAGCCACTACAAGCAGATTATATCAATTTAATTACTGTTTTGCAAGTTGTTATCGAGATAGTCTTCAAGCTGGCACAAAACAAGCTGGAAATAAAGTAATCAAGGCACATGCGGTAATCAGTAAGCTGTGTTAATTGCAAATATATCCCTAACGGATTATTCACCCCAATTTACTTTCAGGCTTGGATCAAATTCATTAATAATTGTAGACAAACCTGAGGTGAGAGCAGCGGTGTCGCAAGTGTGGGCTGTTCCTTTACGGCAGTGTCACTAGTAGTGATGACGTTGCCCACTACGTTGCCCACGACAGTGCCCACGTTGCCCACAATGTTGCCCACGCTTCCGACCACATTCCCACCACAAATACGCACCTGTGGCGAAAGCCGTGGTGTCGTAGGGGAGGGTTGTTGCTTGAGCGCGGTGTCGTTCGTGGCGGTCACATTGCCCACAACGTTGCCCACCACCGTGCCCACATTGCCCACAACGTTGCCCACGTTGCTCACGTTGCCCACGACGTTGCCCACATTGCTCACCACGTTCCCTACCGCTGCTACGTTACCCACTTGCTGTAGCTGCGCTTGCTGTAATATTTATTTTAATTGTTTTGAATGCAGGACGTATTAACCTACTAATATTTAAATGTGAAAGTTTGTGAGAATGTATGGATTTATGTTTGTTATACTTTTACGCAAAACAGCTGAACCGATTTGGTTCAAATTTGGTATGTAGATAGGAGATACCCTGCAACTTAGCTGTTCTATTATAAAGGTGCTTACCAAGATAGGTAGTTGACGGACGTTGGTATGTGTATTCGTTGTTGACTGTATCGTAGAGGTCCTGCAAATATATTTATATGACTAACCACTCAATATAGATAAAACAACATGAGTTAATTTAAATATAAATAGGTGACGATATCTTACACAACAGGAACGGTTGTGGCGTTAGTCTGTACTGTCGTGGCGCCAGAAGCGGCCGACCGCTGTTGTAGCAAGAGTTGCTGGTTCTAGAAGAGAGTATTATACAAAATGTATATCTCATATTTTCCTTAGAAAACTCACACAACACACTACAAGATTCCTCACCAATTCCCTCATTCCTCCCGTAAAAGACACCCTCGGCATTTGGCCAGGAACTACATGTCTTATCCTAACAGACTTTCGACCTTCCTCCGTAAATATCTCTGTGAACTGCTGTATATATTTATTCGCCTGTAGTCTTGACCCTGATGAACAAAAATAAAATTGTTTACATATTACTAAATCGTTGGCATACAAATATTATCCATATTTAATTTATATAATGAGTCAATAAAATTTATTATCTAGTCCATGTGTGTGTAATTAATTTTCTGTACGTAGGTAATCTAATTGATAAGGATTGCAGTCAACTTCAACGGAAAATCGTGGATAAATACAAACGATTGGTGAGATGCCGTATACAGTGGCACAGAGTACATTTGCCAGTATATCAGGAGGATCCTTCAATTGGGGAAGGGTTAAGGAAGGATGGGCCTCCGGTAACCTCATTCACACGGCGACACACAACGCTGTGGTTGTTTCACGCTGGTTTTCTGTGAGGCCGTGGTAGCACTCTAATCGAGCCGACGTGGAAGAGCTATGCTCTCCCACACTTAGACGAGATAACGATTAGAATAATAACTTACCTAATGAAAACCGACAAGCGGCGCCATTTGTTTCCCCTTCAACGTGATCTCTGTCTACATAGAGTTCTCCAAGGAACTCCTGGTCGGCTGCCCTCTGTAGTATTGACAGTTTGATGTGGAAGAAACCAGCGCTGGCGTGTGGTGACGTCTTCTCAGTCTCAAGGATGTATTCTTCCACTAGCTGCGGATAGCAGTCGGGCGTGGGCCGCGGCCGCTCGTACGCTCGAGCCAGTCGCAGCGGACCGCCCGGCTCGGACGGCACGGCTAGTGATAATGGATCCATTTTTGGAGGCTCGATGGGTTTGAACACCTATAAAATAATATATCATAAAAAATCTATTAATTAATGAATAGTCAATCATCAAAATGTATGTAAGCACGTAGGTAACTGCTGAACTATTTACAACTTTATTGCTTGGCAATCTATACCTACTAATATTTTTTTTAAGTTTGTATGAATGGGGTAATATTTAGAACCGCTAGTCGGATTGCAAAAATTCTTTCACTGATATTATGATAGCTACAATGTTCCTGAGTGCTATAGGCTACAAAAAATCATGCTACGATCAAATGGTGCCGAGCAGCGGATGAAACCGCGCGAGAGAAACTAGTAGAGCAATAAAGTAAGAATACCAGGAACATAATGAAACGCGCTCATACTGAGCTAGAGTGGACTGCTAGTGCTTGTATGTAATATAACATTTCCCAACAAATTGTAACAAAATCCATGATAGTGATCTTACCTCTGGTGGTTTTTTCGGATACTTAGATGTCAGTCGTGTTAGTGGCACTGATTGTCTACTATTTTTCGCTCTTTGACGGTGTATTAAGTCTAATATCTCTAAACCATGATAATGTGTGAACTGATCCAATTTCCTCTTTCGATTCACTGCCACCTATGGAAAAATACATAAATATTAATACCAAAATTCATAGTTACAGTTTGCAGAAACATTCTCTTTGTATTAGTTAACACCAAGTTCCCATTTGCAAGACTCCCAAAATCACATCACAAATGGCCATTACAGGAAAATCGACATTACCTTTTATAACGTAAACATTTAAGCATATAATGTCATTGACCCCACAGAAAGGTTTTACCTTTCAGAATAAATAATAATAATAATTTACAAAATACTTAGATATGTTTCACATACCTGTGAGAATCGTTTTGCCTGCCTTCTGATCCGAGGCGTATTAAACAATCGTGGGGCAGCATGTAAGCGCGCGGCTAGAAGGCCCACAGCGGGGCGCGGGTCCAAGCACAACGGGGGCGCGGCCGCGTGAACTAATGCGGCCTCCACGGCTTCTAACGCACCACGCTCTTCTCCTGCCCAGCCGCAACGACCCCCGATACACATTGCATCGGTTATTATACTCTGTAGGGGGTTGAAAAGGAGACTAATTAAATACCGTATATTTCTGGCTATTACACCTACACATTAATTTATGGTATCTTTAAGAACAGATGAATCAATAAGATTTAATGTCGTATCTTGTCACTTTTATAAAATTACATTCATTTGTAAACTATAAGGTTGATAATCTATTAAATTAAATGGTTTTTGGTTGTATTTACAAACTACCTTTTCTTCCTAAAAAGGGATATCAAGAGACATTTTTATGAATTTCTATTTTTTCAAGATAGAAAGATTAAGAAAAGTAAAATATAGTCTCATTAACATGTATCAATACATTACCATACATTTTTTAAGGCAAACTGAAAATACTTCTTGTGTTTTTTTTTATTCCTACTTATTCACCTATAAAACTACCTAGTATCGTACAATAACAAGTTGACAAATAAACGAGGGCACCTACAAAACCGGTTTTTAAACTGTTTTCTTATAGTAAACACTATTTTACTTAGTGTAATGTGTATGTCAACTCATAGAAGAATTAATATTTATTAAAAAATATAAAACGCCATATATGCATATTATGACATAATTAGAAAATGTATGTGTTAAATTCACAAACAGTAAGAACAAACAAAATCAAGCATTGCAAAACAAAACTTTGATTTTACTAATATTAAAATGACCATCATAATTTTAAACAGTTGTATGTAAGGTACACTATAAAATATTGTACCAATAAAAATTTTATGTACCAGTATATTTCTAGAAAATCTTATAGACCTACTTATATAACTGGTTTTTATGTATGTGTTGCTCATTCACAAATTTTTCAATCAAATGTACATCAAAATTGATACTTTATTTATTTTTTAATAGTTACCAACAGCAATTTCCGTAATAATTATAGGTACAACTCTGTAGATTGTATGGCCAGTTAAAGATTTCCCTATTAAACTGCTGGCTATGGTACAACACCTGTCAATAGATTCATAAATCTATAAACTGATGAATACCACATACATATGTCTAAATATTACATATGTAAACAGTCACAGAAACACAAAGATTGCTTTAAAGATTACTATAAAGGTTAAGAGACAAAATTTAATTTTAATGTAGGTCATGACTAAAGTGAATTTACTCTTTTAGTAAACAGGCAGAAGACACTACTAATTTAGGAGTAATTATTATACTTTTATTATACAATTAGGAGTCCTAATATTAAACTTTTACCCATCTCCTGTATCAAAATAGAAATTCCCATCCTCAATCACAATAAAATTATAAACACATTAGATTTTAAGTAAGGATGGAAACATTCATGCCAAAACTACTGAACAGGTCTATTAGAAATTTGAATCATTGATAGATTTTAGTTAAGAATAAAACAGACTTCTTTTTTGCCTTTCGCTGTGGCCAAAGCCACTGGCAGAAACTATTAAAACACTTAAAAGGATAGGTGTCCGCATACACTCGCTGAGTTTTTAAATTTTAATTAATTTTGTCACTCTATTTTCTGTTTGTAACTTAATTTTTTTTAAACACATTGTTTTTTTTTCAATTCTTATTTGATCTTTTCTGTATAATTTAAATTTATAATTCAAAATTACTTTAAATATCTATCTCATGTATGTATAATTTGTTCTAATTCATTTATTTTAATGTATCTTGTGTTGAATATTTAATATTTTATTTCATTGCATTGTTTTGTTTTAATTTATTTCAAAGATTGTTAAATAATTTAAACTGATTATTCAAAAGTTTAAAATAAAAATTGTTTGTTGTATAATTGTAATTTAGTGCATGTTGTGATTTCCTATACTTAAATAAGGTATAATAAATGAATTTCTTGTTGGAAATCCAAATAAATAAACTAGTTTTTAAATAAACTAAGCACACTAAAATTGTTGTGTGAAAAATTAGAAACTATCGTCCTCTAACTTTAATATTTTTATGATAAATAAAAATAGTCTTAAATATTTTGTAGGTTTATTAATACTTGAATATATATTCTTCTATAGAAAACATACCTGATTAGTGGGCCGTAGGAGTACATGATGAGTATCGCAGAGAAAACTTGGATATGCCTGTCTATAGTCTCTGATCTGTGCTATTATGCATCCAGAATAAAACAGGCATGAGTGTTCAGTCTCCAAGAGGTCTAACAACACAACAGGTAGTTCCTCATTGTCAATATAACTCAACAATTCTTCCTCTTCATATGGCCAGCGGGGAGTCTCTATCAAAGTCTCTTCTTGATTTGATGACGACTAGAAATAGAGGAGTTCCATTAGAAAGCTATAAACAGTCCTGTTATAATAAGGAGAGATCTATGTAGATGATTGATAGTCATATCCCACTGTTGGAACTTGTACTTTAAAAAAAAAATATACAAGCCTTTCTCAGCCCAGATTCAATTTTATCCACATTTTTATATAATGAAACATTGAATTTATACAAACAATTATTCTAATTTAACATTTTTATTTTAGTTTACTTACATGCCCATCTGGAGGATGTAACTGTTGTGAGTTGCCATTTACTTTTAATGATAAAGAATATCCCTTATTGCCTGGATACAGATTTATTATTAATGTATTAAGATTATATATTGCTAATAACTTCTCCAATAGATATGATGTGGTTTTCAGGCCTTGCTGTAATGTTCAAAAAATTTCACACTGAATTATTTTTATTACTTTTATGATAGAATATTTAAGCCTTATAAGATTTTTCAAGTGGTTAAGTATGTTGATAATTGTACTAATTGGACAGTTTTTCAGCTACATGAATATAACATCTCTAGCATACTCCTAATAATATAGGTGTTATGGTGCACAAAACAAATCAAACAATTAGACTTTATGAGACCTATCATATTCAAACTGTTATTCTCAGATGGGTGATAAATTAATATAGCAAACAATAATTTGAGCTTTTAATCAACTATTTAGTAGAATGTATCGAACCCCGTGGGGTTTGAGCTACATTACTAAATACCTAATTTAGGTAATGTCTACATTGATAAAGCTGAATTAAATCGAAAATTACAAGTCTAAATAATTATAATCTGCGGACAATGAGCTAAATAGAGCAATCCTTTACTTACATAGTTCACCTGTAATGTTTCATCTCTACTTAACTCGTTGTAAAGTTCATGAAGTTTTTTAAATAAATCAAACTTCTCTGTAGCTTTGGAAGCAGAGCCGGACGAATTACGTTGAAATTTCATTCTAGATTCATCAACAGATTCAGCAAGGTGCATTTTATCATGGGTCCAAGTCATTTTGTGGTCTGGGACACCACTATTATATTGGGACAAGTTTGAGTTCACATGTTTCGCCCGGTTAAGTATTACCTGAAAAATTCATTTTTGATTATATACAAATCTGATAGCCAGTGCGGTTAGATAAGTAAAGCTCGGGTAATAAATAGAAGAAAGCAATGAAATACCTCAGCTTCCAATGCCGCGTGAATTAAACCATCCATAATGTCATTTATTAAAACAAATATGTAAGTGGCAGTTATTTTATTAAATTTATTATTTCATATTAACAGTTTAGGCCTGAGTATTAAGTCATGATTTTTACAAAAACTAATATGCTTTATTTATGTTTCACACTGCATGACAGTAAAATAACATGTCCAATGTCCATCAACAATTTTTGACATTGTGTGTTGTAGATAATGTAGAGACGATCATAGAATTTTTTTAATCGATGCATGCGAAAAAAATATTTTAATGCGGTTATTTGTTTAAAAATACATGAAAATGTATAGGATAACAAAATTTTCTACGCAATCTAAATGCTCGTGTAAATCAAGGGTCGTATTATGCCATTACGAAGAACTAAACACAAATAGTTTACTTTAAAGCCTTTGTATCAAACCTGGAAAAAGAAGCACCGATACTTAACATGTTCAGCCTACTCCTCCTCGGTACTATAAAATAAAACTTCATCATCCATTACAATCATTCTCTTACATTTTTCTTTAGAAAAAAGCATGAAAGTGTATAAAATACCGCTTGCCCATCCATTTAAGGACCATTTCCATATTAATTTTGAGTTTAGTCTGCTAATTATGAATGGAAGACTTCTAGTATGATAGAGACTCGTTATATTTGAATTATTCTAAGTAGCTTACGAAGAAATTAAACATTTTATAAGCTTGTTTCAGCCAGGGTTAGATTTCCCGGAGCTAAAAAAGGAAAGTTGTTCTTTTTTTAGTCAGTAAGACTAATATGAAGATACTCGGGGACTTCATTTGATGATTTTTCCCCATCAAAAACAATTCCGTATGTAGTTATAATTCAAATTTAGAAAAACATATGTATACCTACTTTAATATATACATGTGTATATATTTCTTTCTACACCTTCAAATAGGAAATTAGCCTACCCTCAATCAACGCGCATAAATAGGCTCGGAGCAAAACCACATTATGTATACCTACTCTGGCTACACAGCCGGCTACTTAGTACTCACCGCTCGTTCGTACTTGAGAAGAGTTTACTAAAGTAGATAATTTGAAGATTATGTACATATTTTCATCGTCTTCATTTGGGTACCTATATAAAATGAAACGGTTCAACTGATTCAGATACTTCTTTTTATGTTATACTAGCTACTCTCGCGCGGTTTCACCCGCTGCTCGCTGTTTTATGTACTCAGGAACATTGTAGCTATTTATCAGTGAAAGAATTTTGGCAATCCGACCAGCGGTTCCAAAGATACACCTTACAAACATAACCGCCCGCTACATACAAACCTAGAAAAATTACATTCCATATTAGACACACGTCTAATATAAAGGTAGTTAGAAGGAGAGTATCAACAAGTATCTAACCTAACAACTTGATTTCAAACCTAAAGCAAAATTTAGATTAAAAATAAGTAGAATCCTTTGTTGCCGAGTCTACCTTTATCTTTGCTCCTTTTTTCAGGCGGGAAAATCATCAAATTAAATAGGTATTTTTTACTCTCTCTGACAAAAACCGCTCCATTCCTACTTCTGCTCTAGGCCGAGGCCGAGGCCGCGGTACATTATTGTTCTTGCAAACCTTATTATATTTATAAATTACCGCGACTTCGTTCGCGTGGAAAGTGACTTCCTGCAGATTTTTGGTTTAAAAACTATCCAATGTCTTTTCTCAAGTAGGTACCTACCTAACTATGTCTGCTGTACCAAATTCCACACAAATCGTTTCAGTAACTTACACTGACAGAGTTACTTTCGCATTTATACCTAATAAGTATTAGTTTGGAATTTTGGATTTAATCTAGTTTTCAATATTAAAGTAGGTAATGTAAAAAGTTAGAAAGTGACAGTGTGGGAAAGCCAAACTTCGGCACGAATGGGTCGGTTCGATCGGAGTGATACCACGGCGTCACACTAAACAGCGTTTATTTCGCCTTGTGATTTAGGTTACCGTTCAATCCCTTCCCATTCCTTAAATATCCGAAACCCTTATCCCTAAAAGGCCGGCAACGCACTTGTAACTCCTATTACCTATTAATATATATCTCTCTTACTGCGAAATCTGCCGGTCTCTTCTTCAGGCATTAGCAACCACTGAATTTATATTTCTTAAAATTGGTACTATATTATAGTTTGAAGCCCAAGCAAGGAGCCTATAATCCTTTAGAAAGGCAACAATGCGTAAGTATGTCCCAGAGCTTTTATTTTTTAACTACCTTGAGACCCGAAAAATACACCGAATGGTTTTTATTCGTAAAATCCCACAGGCATTTAACAATAGTATGAGGTCCGAGAAAGTTTGTGAACTAGGTACTTAGGTAGTTTTATCCCTAAAATTGTACGGAAACGAGTGAGAACTATCTATTTGTCCAAAGCCCGAGACTCTATATTTTAGTGTTCAACTAGGATAAACGATCTATCAATACCTAAATGACAATGGCAATGGGAAACTAATTACACAGGAAAAACTCCGCGACTGATCGAAAGAGAACCATGGATATATTACAGTCTTGCAATAAGGAAAAACTTTGTAAAGTATTTTTTATAAAATTAGACTGGCTGCAGAATAGGTGGGATAGGTTTAAAAAGCGATCTCTGGTGCCACTTCAGGGTCGGGCGGGACCCCGAGATAATATTACTCTGGTGTGATTCATGGGTCCAGAAATGAGTCTAGATTTGATTGCACCAGGCAATATGTTCACGCTTTATCAAGGTTGGTCGATGGGGCGAGGGCTTAGACAGACAAATTGCAAGGGGCGCCAAAGTATGGTGTTGGAGTCTCCCGCCTCCTCTGGTACAAACATTTCAACTCTAACCATATTGTTAGTCGCTCTTGCCTTTTTGAAGAGGACCACGAGGTACAAAAAAAAAAGCAAATGAGAATGGTACGGTATGAAACTTTTTTACATAGGTAGGTAGGTACTTTCTTGTATTTTGTATATAAGGTATGTTTGCTTCGTTTTTTCTGGGTAAAGCTAAAGAAAAGACGAACTTAAAGTTACTGGCGATCAGCTTTAATTTGATATTGCTTCCCTTTAGTGGGCGCCACAAAATATTCGCCTGGGAGGTAACCTGTGGGTCGCGTATACCAAAAAAACGATGGACGCTCTGCGCGTCCAGTATAATATTTTTAGGATGCTATTGAGAAGGCCTCGCTTTTGTAGTGCCACAGAAATGTTTGTGCAAAATCAAACCGATGGCTTTAAAGAGGTGATTTGCCAAAAATACTGTGCAGAATAAAAGGTACTAACAACAGCATCCTCAAAATACCTACTAGGGGTGGTGTTAAATCAATAAATAATCATGTAATTTTACAAACAATAGTTTGTAAGTTACTCTTGTATTTTTTAACAAAATGGATGTGATTCATCTGAATAAATGAATTATTATATTTATGCAGGACTTTCTTTATTTCCCATATAAATCATCAACTCTTTATATATTTGCTTATTTCTATTTCTCACTGAAACTTAAATTAGAAATCAATTTCAATTTTGAATTGTTTGGAATGTAAATTTTAAGTACTTAGGCCTTTATATATATTTTTGCTTTTCATATAGACATAATTTAGTAAAGAGAACACTTTGTTTCAACAGTCTCCAGGCTGACTGATGTTCAGATTAAAAAAAAAAAAGCAGCTAAGTTCCCTATTATGCGCTGTTGTTGGTAGTTTGACTGATGTTTTACAGAATCTTGAATATTATCCCAACCATTAGTTTCAATTTGACATAAAACTAGAGAAAACACTTTGCATCTCATATAATTCCAGTGATTTCTGTTTGTTGTCGAAAAAAAATAGGATAAAACATTTAATCTGTAAAAATGTACCCAATGCAGCATATATTTTATTTGAAACAGACAAGGCAAAAAATAAGCTATTTAAAATAACAGTCAACAACAATCTTTGCATATAAGTAGAAAATTAATTATTATGCAAATTAATGATATACTTGTAACAAAGTACATCTCTGTGTATGGCTCCTTCAAGAGTAAAAAACATTAAGGGCACAAATCATAAAAAAAAATTGAAAGGAAAGTAAAAAATGGCCTTAAAAGAATATATTTATTAACTTAATTTACAATATTTACATGTTAGTTATCATTTGATGCCATATGCCTTATAAGATTTGATATGAACTTATCAATTTTTCTAACATCTTGTTGAACTTCAGTTTTATATTGAAGACACTGTAAACAAAAAATCAAATTATTATTTAAAAAAAGATGTTTTTCTTATTTTAGCATGCATAATAAGTATCAATGAGGTTTTTATGACTAATTCACTTGTATTTCGAAGGGTAAATTGTTATTTTTTTGAAAGAACTAATGATGACAAAAATTACCTTTTTGTTGTCTGTTATTTTAACTACAAAAACACCTTTTGTATGGGAATATTTTATAGTGTAGCGTGTGTTCAAGGGATCTCTTAAATATAACATCTCCGCCGACTTTTCAAACTCTTCCCAATTCGGTATGAACGTCATAGTGATATTGAGACTTATTTTTGTTTTATTATAGATTAATAAATTTGTTTCCTATAGAGAATTGAAGAAATAAAGGTTGCTTTCGTAGCTTTACAGAAAAACACCATGAATAAAATGCAGTTTACACTTTATAATCTTGTTATTTGACGTTTGTTACATTGCTGGCCATTGTCTTGTCATCAGTCAACTTGACATTAAACACACGTGTCATAGGGTTGTGCTAATCAAGAAAGTGCAATTTACTATTTATAAGGAAATTTTGAAATATACGAAATACCACAGAAATATTATATCCATTCATAAACCAGTATTCGATACTATGATTTTGAATCATAATTATGGAAAACTCATCTATTATTATACCCATATAAGCAAATGATTTGTGACGGCAGAATAGGATACATTTCACACAATACCCAGTGACTGGGTATTGTGTGAAATGTATCCTATTCTGACGTCCCCCTATAATAAGTAAGTAACTTCTAACATACACCGAGAATTAGTTATCTCTCATGACTTTAATCTGATAAGCTGCAATCTCCTCACAAGCCTTTTTTTTGTAAGAGAGACCCGTGGTATGGTAGCTAGGTACTCTCATTCATAGCTTATTAACCTTGTTGATAAAATAGGGAAAATCGATGAAGGAGTCATCCTTACATTAGTCGTCTGAAGCATATTAGCCAAAATGCCAAAAGACATAAACCCATCAATGATTGTAAAAGAGAAGCAATAGGAAACGAAGACGGACGAACAAGTACGGACAATCACAGGTTTCTTTCTATTTAATTCAATGTTATATCAGCAATAAATTGAAATGTGAATGTAAACAGTTATAAACCTGGAGCAATTGCTCTAAGGTTTTTAACTGCTTCACACGCTCTCCAAAAAACTAAGGCCACAATAAATAACAGTTCGTACTGTAATCAAAGTTGCGGTTATTCATTTTTATATTTTTAGTTAAAATTTGACTATTTCTATGTCTATTTTGCTAGAATATAGATATTTTTTGTAACTACTTTGGAACAATATATGTACTAACAAAAACCTTATATATATTATATATTTAAAATAAATTACCAGTGACTTATAGTAACTTTAAGTTTTCCTCAACCAAACATGGTTTCAAGTTATGCCTCGATTTTGTAAAATTAAAAGTGATAACATGATTGTATCATGTCGCTCTTTACTCTACTATTATAGAAACCGAAACTGAAAGTACTTGTATACTGGCAACACCTAGGCCACAGACAGCGCAACCATCTACGCAGAAAATCAATACACCGTGATGTATTCGCCTTTTTAAAATGAGAACGTGACAAAACATTAATTTAATTCATCCAAGAAACCACTTTTATTTAAAAAAAATATCTGTTGAGACTTGATGCTCATTTTTTATTTATTTACAAAGTGATGAGTATTCTCATAGTTACGGCGTGGTAGAACTTTCTGCGCGTAGATTATCAGCTTTTCCTTCAAATTATAAACTGTTAAAGGTTAGTAAATCATTTTTAATTATTATTAATTATTAAATTAATTAATCTATGGGGCATTTCTGCCATATTTGGCAAAAAACGTGTTATTACGGATTATCGACCTTCGCCATTGTCTGCATGGTGCATTGCGTTTATTGTGCGATAGGTACGTACATAGGTAGTGTATGGAGCCATTTTGACGATTTATTTTATATATTTTGTAGTACTGGTCCTCAATGAAATTGTGATATATTTGTTTTACGTTATTATTTTCTTACGAAGGCCATTTCGTTGTGCGATGGTATCAAAAGAAGTTTAAATATTCATAAATTTGTAGCCTCGCCTATCGGATTCAAGACGGCGGCAAATTTATATTTTTCCACTTTCAATTTACCATCAGCATCGTATTGTGTGCAATTATTCGTAAATTTCACCCTTTGTCAGTATTGATTTTTCGTCTGTTGTCAAGATGTCATTGTTCAAATTTAATCCGCTAGAAGGATACTATTTTATATTTTCTGATTATACTTTGTACAACAGAACATTTCTTCGTTCGTTCTAAATTCAAAATCATTATTGAGTTGAATATCATCCAGTACATAAATTGGATTTAGTTAATACAATCACCTCTACATGAAACTTCCTTTAAACATCATTAAAATTTTGTCAGTGATTCTGATAATACATTACTCAGTCACAACTATGCTTAGCATAACTTATGATTACCAATGAAAAACTTTGAGATAGTAAAAATTCTGTTAAAAGTATGTTGAAATGTGATATTGGTTCAGTTATGTTTATTTCTCCGAAGATGTTTTTCACTGAAGAATAAACATACAATGTTATAGATACATTGACTGCTCTTTCTTTATATTGTATATATTATTTAATTAATTTAGGTTGACAAGACAGTTAAAGGATCCTTTATACCACCATCATTGGTGAAGCAAAAAATTAATAAGGGTAATAATATTTTGTAAATAAAATGTGTTTTTCATTGTAATCCACCTGAACTGATAACTATAACTAAATTTGAAAATTGGAATACATAAAAATTCTTAATTTTTGCATGTGCCTGCTAAGGTCACCTTATGAGGCCACAACCCTTCTTTAACAGCCACACCCAAACAGGTTGACATAATAAGCAGGCTCTTTTACTGGTGTGTTTTTTGTGAAGCAATCTTTGAACATAGGTTTTCACCTATCTCATTGTCATGCACTTTATTTTGATTGCCCTTACCTTCTATGGTTAGTGTAATTTGTGGATACATTGTGTATAAGTATGCTATTTTTAGATTTTGTGGATAATGAACAACAATAATTATGTGGAATTATAAGAAACCCCATGTTTTATTAACTGTTTTGTTTTTGATGTGGATGTTTGAGGATTACATAATAATTTAAGAAATGCAATGCAATATGTGATGTTCAAGTAAACATATGAGTGTGTCTGTATATTGAGTATGTTGATTGCCTTTTTGTAGTAAGAAACTAAGATTATGCAATAAACTTGAAGATTGAAGTGTAATCTGTTTACTCTCCTGAATTATTTATCAAGGCAAAGTTTATTTTTTGTTACAGGTTCTTGTTGAGTAAGGTCAAGAATATATTCATTATACACCAACATAATTGTAAGTTAAAATGGAAGAAATGAATGGGGATTTGTATGGGGGTGGGTTAGTAAGTCTGGGAGATGAGGGTTCTTTGGAGTCAACTGATAATGGTAAACAAGAGCAGAATTGTAAGATTTGCGAGTAAGTAGTATTTAGTAAATAAAGTTGATTATCAGGAATTTAGTAAAATTATTGTAATAATCAATACTATCTTTACATTTTATTTCCAGCAATAAGCTATGCAGTCCTCGTGTTTTGTCTTGCCTTCATGTATTTTGTGAAGCTTGCATTGACAAGTTGATGGTTAATGAAGCTGGTGATTCTCTGAAATTTGATTTGGCCGTAGAATGCCCAATATGCAAACAAGAAACCAAGGTAGATAGAAATCCAATAACTCGTAAATTATCTTTCCTTTTACCTAATTTTGTAGGCACACATTTAACTTGTGTGTACTTTGTCATCAGATACCTGGAGGTGGGGCTGCATCCCTTCCTTCTGATTATGTGCTTACCAACATTTTGGATGTTTCTGCCATGGATCAATCTGTTGTTTGCACTTGTTGCAAGAGCAAGGAACCTGCTGTTGCTAGATGCACTGATTGCTCTCATTTTCTGTGTTCCAACTGCAATTCAGCTCATGAATTTATGAGATGCTTTGAAAACCACAGAGTAGTACCATTTGATGCTCTGAGATCATCTAAGGAGAAAGCTGCTGTTCATAAGCCAATCTTCTGCGCTCGTCATGCTGGGGAGAGTCTAAAATTTTACTGTTGCGAGTGTGAGGTTGGAGCTTGCACTGAATGTCTTACTGTCGATCACAAAGTCGGCGAACATCGCTGTGAGAGAATTGTCGATGTCGAGCCTAACCTGCGTGCCGAATTGAGAAATTTCATTGTGGAAGCTAATGCTCGCGCGGCTACAGCTGGCAGTGCTTCAGCTAAACTTGATGATGCACTTGGAGATTTGCAACGTCAACGAGATGAAGCCGAGGGCGTAATCAACGAAGCTTTTCATGCTTATAAAGCTGCATTAGAGAGATGCCGTGAAAAGGCCCTTGAAGAACTTGAGCGTTTGCATAAAGAAAGAGAACTCAAGGTCATGGATCTCTTTGATCGCGTCGATAAAACTGTTCAACGCATAGACTGTGCTTGCAAATTTGCGGCTAGATTACTTCGCCGCGGTGACGGCACTGAAATTGTGATGTTGAAGAAAACTGTTGCCTCACAGTTTGCTCGTCTGTTGGAAGGAGCACCTGAATTTGATGTTGATTACTCTTTGGAATTCGTCACTAAAATAGACAAGTTTGATGCCATATCTGAAGAAACTTTCGGAACATTCCGCACAGAGACAACTCGAGCAGAAGAAAGGAAGCGTGCTAGCGAATCCTCTGCTATTGTATCGGTGACATCGAATTCTCACTCACCTGCTGTTTCAGTAACTAATGCTCCAGTGTTTGACGACTATCCAATTGGAGGCGTCCGTCGAGTCACTGGGGTAACTGGAGTTGGAAGCATGGTAGGAGTGTCTGGTGTGCCAGCTATTGGAGTACCTGGTGTAGGAGCTGTCACTGGAGTAGGTGTAGCTAACACAAGTGTCATAACTGGTGGAGTTAACATCACAAGTGGCGTTGGAGGTGGCGTACCTGCATTGCCATCTATGGTCGAATATAATTTGCAGCAGTTGGCTAGTATTGCTGAGAAAGACGTGTCTCCTCCTCCTCACGCGTCTCCAGCTCCCACTTTTACTCTGGCTGAGTTACTTGCCGGTGACCTTAATTCACCTCAAGCTTACAACAACCTGCAAGCTCTTGCTAAATTAGGCCTGAACGGTAAGTTTTGAGATGCAATTTAGAATTCGTGGGCTTCGGACCTTTTTTTTATTACATTGGATATTAAATTTTCAGAAGTGAATGGCTTTGGAGGTGTTGGAGGAATTGGTGATGTAGGTCCTCGCGGTGTGTCTCCAGGAAGACCTTTGCTGACAGCAGCGGAAGAGGCGGCTCTGGTACCTCCACCGGCTCCTCTTGTGCGTGCCACTAAAGCTACCCCCATGCATATAAGATTCAAGTTTGGTCAACTGGGAAGTGGCAAAGGCCAATTTAATTCACCTCATGGATTCTGTCTTGGCAACGACGAAGATATAATTGTAGCCGATACAAATAATCATCGCATCACGGTAAATTTCTGAACACATCTTAAATATTATGTTACCTTCTGGCCACCTAAGGTCACATTGGTCATGTTATTGTAATTTAAAATATACATTTTCATAGCACCTCTAACATTTTTAATTTTGCAGGTATTTGATAAGTCTGGAACTTACAAATTTAACTTTGGCATTGCTGGAAAAGAGGAAGGCCAGTTGTGGTACCCGCGTAAAGTGGCAGTTGTCCGAGCCACTGGCAAGTTCGTCGTCTGCGATCGCGGCAATGAAAGATCTCGCATGCAAATATTTACTAAAAATGGGCATTTCTTGAAGAAAATTGCTGTAAGTTTAACGAATATTAAAGTACCCTAATGCCATTAAACAAAATATTGGAGTTCTAATATTTTTTATTTTGCAGGTGCGATTTATTGATATTGTTGCCGGATTGGCAGTAACTGCCGAAGGTCTCATTGTGGCAGTGGACAGTGTGACACCTACTGTATTTATACTCTCTGAGGAAGGCGAGCTCATTCGGTGGTTTGATTGCAGCGAGTGTATGAGGGAACCATCCGACATTGCTATAAGTGGTCAGTAATATATCTAGTCGGAAAAATTCTTAACAATAAAAATCAACATGTTAAAGGATTATTTTAACAAATATTTATGGGTTTTAGGCAAGGAGTTTTACGTCTGCGATTTCAAAGGACACTGCGTTGTTGTTTTCGACATTAAAGGGCACTTCTTGCGTCGTATTGGATGTGAGAACGTTACAAACTTCCCTAACGGCATTGACGTGTCTGATGCGGGCGATGTTCTCATTGGTGATTCCCATGGAAACAAGTTCCACGTTGCAGTTTTCTCACGTGACGGCGTTCTCGTCACTGAATTCGAGTGTCCCTACGTCAAGGTGAGATAGTATTTAGATTTATGCAAAAGAAATAACTTTCGAGCTTATTTTTGTAGCATTACATTCGTAATAAAAGTTTAAAGTCTCTAAAAAGCCAATAGCGCACATGCAGTAGCAAATTCTATCTATACTTAATTTCAAAATATATTTTTTTTATTGTATACTTTTATTTATTTTTCTAGTAGCTATTTTTGCACTGCCTTTGGATAAGAGGAGGTCGCAAGCATAAATATTTCCTCTAGTGTGTTAGTCTTGAATCTCGCGAAGTCTGAATTTATATGTTAACATAACATACTATTTGTTTGTTGTTTAAAGGTGTCTCGTTGCTGTGGATTGAAGATTACATCTGAAGGATACATTGTCACCCTGGCTAAAAATAATCACCATGTTCTAGTCCTCAACACCCTTTATATTGTCTGAGGAGTAACTCGATGGCTGTAAGTCTGCATACTACAAGATCTCACATTTATTCCCTATATTTTATATTAATTGCTGTTTTTACAAAGCTTAACATTTTTTGTCTGATATTTACACTCTATCCATGAGCAGTGAACTATAGTGGTCCTATTTTCAGTATGCTTCGTGATTTTTTGTTTTATTGCATTCTAGATTTAGACACTATATTTTTATTCACTGCAATGGATAGACTTAAGTCATTATTATTTCCAAAGTACTGAATACTTGCGTATTGTTTGAGGTTTTTGTTCATCTGTCATTATTTTATAATTGCATTTAGTTCTAGTAATGGAAAATCCAAAGGTTAGTATATAATATTCAACTTCTATTATTTTCGTTATAGTCCAATAATTATAAATTGTTATATTTGGTCATGGAAGATCGAAAAGTTTCGGATTTGTTTAATATCTGACTATATATTACGAATGAAGCAGGTAGATACGGACAATTATTATGTTTATGTATAAATTATAAGCTTCGAATTGGTATAGTCGACTCCACTCAGATAATTATATCCGGAACTTGAAACTACTTCCTGCTAAGGAACAACCATAACCAAATCTAACTAAACAATTCCCATCGACAGGACTTTTATTTTGTTTTCTAAATTTTAGCAGCTGGTATGGTTCCTAGTTCGAGTGAAGTTTAAACATGTCAATTAGGGGACTGCGTGGGAGTGTCGCCTCAATAAAATGTTACCCGTGTAGAGCCCAACATACGTACATTTTGTTTTTATATTATTGATTTTCATGGATATTGGTAATTTTCAGGATATGAACAAATTACATATATAAACGCACAATTGAGTTTATTAAAAGTTTAAAAATTAGTCTCGTCATGACCAAAGGAGGCGACACCATAATAACGTGCCATCTAGTTTAGGTTAATCTCGTATACAATATTATATATTGTCCGTTAAAGTATATTTACCATTTACAGAATTCTTGTGTCTATACAAAATGTTTTTTCGTGTACTCTTGTTTTGAGAGCCTATTACATATTTGAAAGTTTTTCATGAGTAGGCATTACAGTATACATTGTTGAGAATTGGTTTTTATTATAATGAAACATTGTAATGCATGCTGTATTATTAGAGAACCGCTATAAGTAACCATTGCAATAATTTTTGTACAACACATACATGTAATTGGATAGTTAAAATTTAATGTAGAGGTCTGGCATTTTCTTGTATATAGTGAGCCTGTAAAATAGTAATGCAAGCATATTTTATTGGTGCACTTGATATTGTTGTTGAAATAGTCACCCATACATATACATTTAACATTTATTGCAATAACTATTTACTACTTGAAGTATTAAGTTGTGGCTAGGAAAGGAAGCATGATAGAAACATTTATTACTTGTTATGTACATGAATTTGCCATTATAAATGATTCTACTTATATGTTTGATGAGTATACAGTTCGCCAAATTATATATTTTTATAACTATCCACATTTATATTCAAAATTGAGAATTCATAGTTTTAGATAGTAGGTACAAATGCGGTTTATTGAAGCGATACCATATTTAGATATTTACATCATATATTACGGTCCCTTGTTAGAGATTTCCTAAAATAGTATTTAGGAAGTGGAAAGACAATTTAATGTCATGTAAAATCCCTATTATATAAAAAATGTGGTATCAAATTTGTAATACATAAGTAATGGTCAGATACAATTTTACATTATACCATAACAAATTCCAGGGATCCATGGTCTTCCAAATATATTTAGACTATTTGAACGAATTTCATCATACTTAAAGAAAACAGTTGTTTTTATTCATAAATAAATAGCCAATTAAAATAGCCAGTTGCGCAATATTTGTTGTTCTTTACTGGTTCTGTAGTTGTCATAGGAAATATGAAGTTAATTACGTCGCAATTATTTAACAGTCTATAACCGGATAAATTGTGTTGTACATGACCATTATTTTGTTTTACATAAAAATAACTTTGGAAATAGTACTTAACCAGACCACCTAAAATTGAGTGTGATATTTTACCAATATTGTTAATGTCAGTTTTTAAATGCTCTCTAATTTTTTGGTTTTTTAGTTTACGTTTTAAAATATTTTAATTCCTCAATTTCCAGAAAGTCATGCATCTATCTCATTGATAAAACAAAGTAATTAAAACACTTTCATGTTACTAAATTGTAATTAAAGTCTTAAATATTAATTAGTTGATAGTCAGGCACTCTCTTCGTATTGCTGAGCCATATAATTTAAACTGAAAGTTAAAATCATAATTGAAGAGTAACATGTATAAATGTGTACTTAATTAGAAATAGGTATTTATTTTATGTATTTGTTGTGTATTGGAACAGTTTTACAATATTCGATACGCAAAATTAGATGTGATATGAGCAATAATAGAGAGACATAATGAACCAACATTTTAAGACTTACTTGACTCAATATTTTGAAAGACACGAGCAAAGATTGAGACGTGGGGCGATGGAGCAACGTCAATCTTCAGTGATAAGTTGAATTTTGACATTTGAGTCTGAATCCTCTATTGATTAGTGAGTAACTTTTGGGTTTATTTTTCATATTGTTTTTAAGTTATTTGTTTCAGGATTTTTGTCCCAATAGTATTAGGGAATTTTATTTTCTTTATTTTAACTAGTTTAAAATGAGTCTACATACCCCTCGCGGAAGAGCAGGTGTGATTAATACTCTGATTTTGTCGTTTTATTGTTTTGTTTAACTATATGTTCCAGGCCTATATTATATAAATAGTATTTTTGGCCAGTGTGTTTAGGCCTTTAGATTTACGAATTTTTACTGCCAAATTATTTTCTTACGATATTTGTGCATGCACATAGTAATTATTTTATTGTATAATATTTGTAAAAAATAGTTATTAGTTGTTGCCAATTTTTTGTTTTATTAATATTCAGGGTTTAATATTATAATGTTCAATTTTAATTCGTTGTCATTGATCAAAATTATTGTGTGTTAGTGAAGTAAAATTAACCGAAATAGAACTTATTATTGCCCCAAAGGGAGCGTTTGACGCTAATAATAATATTGCTTTAGGGTTGCATAAAATTATTAAAAAGTGGTGTGATAAGTTTTGGATAATTTTACAAATTATACTATTTTATGTGTGAATTCCGATATTAAAATTCGAAGTCGTATTTCATTAAACAATATTATTTTTTATCAATGGATATTGTGTACTACTATGTTTCTATTTCAAAAGTATTATACCTGTCAACGACCCCTTGATTATTGTTAATTTTGGTGATATTGACACTTTCCTCTTTTCTTGCCATGTATTTTATGTAGGGATCAGCGTAGAAATGTTTAGTAGGTACTAGTATTTTTCAATTGATATACACACATACAGTATCACAAGTTTGCCTATATGGTGGTGTTGTTTAGAGATGTTTATTAGTGGTTGGCGCGGGCCGCGGCGGTTATTCGTCGCGTCTGCTTGGCTGTATAATTTGCCGTAGTGAGTAAGCACTATGTCATGGATGAATGGCAGTCAAATGGTATCTATTGTCCATTGACATTACTTGATAATAATTGTATCATTAGAGTACATTACAGTAGCCTTTCTCGGGAATCTTAAAAGTTACCTATATACACTTTAAAGCAATTTTTGGTAAAGATATTTCTCTTGAATCTATATTCCCTTATGTATCCAGCAATAAATTACTTCAGTAGTTGTGTAGTATCACTTTATATGGCACTGAAAATTGCAGATTTCCTTGTATTGTATTGAGCTCTTTTATGTGGGACGCCACTCGTTGTTGAGACGAATGTGTCAAGGACATTTGCATACTTGGTGCCAGGTAATGTGATAGTGTAGGGTTCGCAGCGCACAAGGTGAGCTCTAATGTTACCCTCCCTATTGGAGGTGGGCGTATTGCCTATTAGTGGCACCAAGCACAGCTCGACGGTCTGGGTGGAGTGTTGTGGCGTTACTATTCAATTTTGTTCAACTCTGAACCGTGGGTGGGATTAAGATTATTTGTATATTGTACCTAATAATTTAATTTCGAAATGATTCCAATTAATATTTGAAAGACGGCATGCTCAAAATATTTTATTTTTACCTTCACCCACTTACCCGATTTAATCTCCACTATTCTAAAACAACATAAATAATAATAAGGTTGTGAGCTCTATTCCCATTGGAATTTTAAGCCACATGTGTGCTTGTGCAATAAATATCACAGTTTGGATCTAGGCTTTTAAATTATTATAGATTATATACATTGTTGAGCTGATTATAAAAATTTAATATATTATTATACCTTTTAATATTGTTAAAGAATTCTAATTGCATTCCACATCTTAGAGTGAACGAATTTGAGATGACCGTTTTCAGTCTACATTATACAAATTTTTTTTTACAATTGTAGGATTATTAGCAGTTGCCAATGTTTTCCTTTAGTCAGTAAAAGTACAAATATTTTAATATACAATCTTGGTATTTACGTATTGTAGTGATCTTATTTTTTGATTCTATAACTATAAGCATAATTTTTTTCTCTTAAGCGGCCATTCAGATATTTCTTCGTCTCACAAATTATTCAGTAAACAACAAAACATATCATACCGAATCAATTTAGTTTACAAAGAAATTGTCTGCAACTCCCGTGATTTTACTCTCCTCATTGGTTTAGATGTTGTTAAAATGGCTATTTTATTTGTTTTCAAGGTAGATTTAAGTATATTCTAAGTTACACTGTCTTATGTTCTTGTCATTTTATGTTGAAATGTGAAATTTATTGTAATAGTTAGTGTGAAAGGTGCAAGTTCCAAATGCATATTTTAATTTTGATCCAAAGATTTCATTTAATTCCTTATATTTTAATTATTTTTTATTCTCGTTAGCGGAAATGACATTTGTGGAGTATGCATTGGTATTTGATACTAGAAGTAACATGAATTATTCTGTAGAGTTGGTGCAGCCGAGCAAACCTCTACTAATATTCTCTTAAGAATATTTGCTCAATAATTTAATTCTGTTAAAGTATTTTAAACCTAGTTGTAGTCCACTGTGTGTTTAGTATGGATGTGGACTCCAAAACACGAAAT